TGACTCTTATAAAATAAATGGTTGAATGGCTGATTTTTCGTGTTCTTTGTTGTGAAACTAAATTCGAATCACCAATCGGAAAATATTTTCAAGCGCAGAAAAATGATAACGACTAAACTCCCGCTCAAGACCAGTATCGATTCGATGAAGTGTAGAAATGAACTGATGCTTTTTTGCATAAAGATTACTTTATCCGTTTTCAAGCCTACCACGCCATTAAAAGGACCTTTTTGAAAAAAAGAATTAATAATTAAGAACCATAAGAAAGCCTAACGCTTCCTCGGCAACAGAACGCATCTCAAAAAAAAGTAACATGCCGTTGGAGATCCTAAAAATTGGCCATGAGCACACCTCCAAGTTAAAGATAACCCTTGATAGCCGTTTGAACTAATCATTTTTCAAGCTTTTAGCTAGGGACCGCAACCAAATATTCAACCAAAAACCCACCAAGGAACGTTTTTTGCGTCGCAAAATAAAATTACCGCCCTGTGCACGAAATAAATAAAACTATTAAATTATATTAGAACTATACTTTTACAACCAATTTTTTTAGAACGGGCCAGCTTAAGAAAAGGCCCTTGAAAATCAAACCGAAAAAAAAATTATTACTCGTGGTTCACTAAATTTAGAACGATAAAATTCAACTAGCCAGCCTTACAAAAAGACTTTTCACATTAAAATTTGAGCATTCGAGCACGAAACAGCCAAATTTTCGATTTTTTTAAATCATGAATCTCGATGCTTTCTACTCCTAATAGTCAAATCTCACACTGATTCATTCATTCTCAATCGAATTAGGGCCGAAAAACCAAAAGCTGAGTCATCATCTCTCTCTCTCTAACGCATTTGGTATTCAAAGTTCTCATGAAATTTGAAATTCAATCAGACCGTCACAAAAAAAAATGACTCCTTGGGAGGAAAATCGGCTCAAAAACGCATAAATAGTGGAGAATCTTTGAAAAGTTTCACATTTCTTCAACACGAAATGCATCCAAAGGTGAGTTTTGATTCGTATTAGAACAAAAATGGAAAAATCAACTTTATATCATTTTTTTTTTACTTACTAGAGATATGTGCGAAGTCTGATCCGAATTATTGGGGGGTTTCATTTTGAAATTTTTAGGGGCAAAGTCCGAAAAGTTCTCGAAAAGAAGAATATAGAGCTCTTATTCAGTTCCTAGCTCATTTAAGCTCCAAAAAGGTGTCAAAAATTTCTCCGAATCACTTTTTTTTTCACTTTTTTCCCGCCTTCTTCCTCTTCTCCTAAAAAAAAGTCAAGAAAAAAGCCTATAGAGCCTGTTTGAAGCTCCTTTTTTAGGTCCTTCTGGATTTTGCCCGTGTTGTAGGGTTAAATCTCATGGTTCCTAATGCTCCTTTTAACTCTCAACCAAAAAATTTTCCAGCTTTTCCTGGCTCTTCTGCTCATTCTGATCGGCCTTATTTCTTCGACCCAAGCCGACCCACGTTCGTTTCCCAACGAGAAACTTTTGAAATGATAGAAATTTTCAGCCCCTGCGATCTACCTCTGTCGGCACACCAAGGACTGTTGGGGAGCGCCGTGCCGCAAGGGCAAATGTGACCTCCGTATTCAATACTGACCCGAAATCGAGTTCGATCATTTCAATTCAAGTTAATAAACTCATTAAATCGCTGCTTTTTCGTATCAACAGGCCTGAAGGAAGTATTCTTAGCAGGGAATGTTCACTACTAATGACACTAGGCTGACTATATATAGTTTTTACGCTGATTCCGAATCTGAGCTCAAAGGTTGCCCTTGAGGCCTGTGAAAAAAAGTTAGGAGCCTCCAAAATCGAGAAATTCGATGTATCCGATCGAGCTCCTTTTTAGAGCACAGTGTTCCCAAACGAGCGGCAGCTGTGGTCAGTAGGCGTGGCTGACTGCAACAGCGTCACGGTTTATTGCAATAGGGGCGCGGGAATGAGAGTCAAGTTTTGTGGATTTAGTGGTTGGAAAAAGACCATTAAATGATGTTTTTCCTAGGTTCTCGCAAGTTTTCAAAGGTTTTTAATATGTATTAAATTATAACGAACAAATTTAAATGAAAAAAGAGACGAAAAAGTTTTTGCAAAACAAAATATCTCCCAAAATGTCGTTTTTTAGGAAAACTCGTCAAATCGAACTTCCAAAGGGAAAATTGAGAAAAAGCTCAAAGCACTTCTCCTAAAAAAATTACCATTTGAACGTTTTTAAAACAAAATAGCTTGTGCGAATAAAGTTGTCACGCAAAATGACATTTTTCAAGAATAAATTCGTCGAATTTTGCCTCGAAAAATTTTTGAGAAAAAAAATCTCACAGGGTTTCTCTTAAGAAAGTCCATTTGAAAACTCTAAAACAAAAAAAAAACGAGATATCTTATGCGAAATAAGTTGTCATCAAAAATGGCATTTTAATGCGAATTTCTGTGACGAGAAAGCATTTTGGTGGAATAAAAAAAATTCTCATGACCTTTCTTTAAGTAATCAACAAATGCTGCTTTCGAAAAAATTTCCCTTTTTTTTACTTGGGCGATAATCGAATATGTCCCTTTTTGAAGAAAAAAAATTTGAAACTACAGCCTTTTTAGCCACGGCTTTATTTTTAAACATTGCTTAGAATTCGGATATAAATTTAAAAAAAAGGAACTTTTAAGGCGTTTAGGATGACTTTACAATGTCCCTTGGAAATAATTAAAATTCCAGAAAAAATAATTTAGCTGACACTTGAATGAACCAGATCGAGATAACCGTTCACATACATTTTTTTTTGGGAATCTAGAAATTTCTGACAAAGTGAGAAAGAAAATTCTTTTTAAATTGATTCCTGGGGCCCGAAATCATGAATCCAAACGTTCTAATTTTCATTCTCGTCTGGAGGAATGAATCTAAGGGTCAGTTACTTTTCAAAAAAATTGTTCAAAAAACCAAATTTTCAGATTAAAATCTTCTTTCTCGTTCTTCTAGGATGCCTCTTAGGGGCTTCTGATGCCGTAAAAAGTGATCAGATTTATCCTAATCTTCAAATTGACATAAATTTCAGAAATCGACGGCAAATGCAAAACTGCCGAAGACTGTCACTTGTACACGTTCTGCAGAAAAGTGCCCTACTGCGTTCTGAATGACATCATCAGAAATATGACGATAAACGAATAAATGATTACAAAGCATCAAAAACGTGAATAGCAAGACATTCCCATCAAACGATTAGCCAGAAATGATTCATAAGAGAGGGAAAAAATCATATTTTTGTTTCGAAATCGGGTCCGAACTTTGCGAAAATTCGTCGTAGTGATTTGCTTGATTCAAACACATGTTTCTCTTCGAAAATTATTTTTTAGAGGGCGTGAGCTTCATCTAAGTTTCAACTGGCCGCTAAATACCCGATTTCTTTGAGCTCCGTGAAAAAAAATACTTATTCAAACGTACATGAAAATTTTGTGTGCTCAGGTTACATGTACTGATTCCAGGTGTTATAAAGGTTCACAAAAAAGTAATTTAGTTTCTACACTCTTCAAAAGTCAAAAAAACCTTCATACGAAAATTTCTAGAAAAGAGAGAAAATTGCAAAAAAACATTGCACAGCGTGGGGGACCGAACCCGCGACTCGCTAGTGCTTTCTCATCGTGAGCGAATCATTGAAAAATCATATAATGGCTTAAAATGTTTTTTTTGTAGAAAAATACTTGGCTTTCTGTTACCAGTGTGACCAGCCCTGTCCTCTAGAAAATGAGCGAAAAAATTATGATGTGCACAAAAAAGTCATCTCACGTAAGTTATAATAAACCTTCTTCACGCAAGTGTGAAAAAAACCGGTATTTAGCTATTTTGTAGCCAATTCACGGCTAGCTTGGTATGCAAAGAAGGCGTGGCCTGCCTGCGCTCTCCACCAATCAAGCACTATTTCTTTTCTTGTCGTGCCAGGACCCTTTTTTCAATGACTCAAGCTAACCGTGAAAGAGCTACAGTTTGTACAAATTAGGAAAAGGTGGGCTTTTTTTTGGATCAGGCATCTTAATTCAAGAGTTCAAGCCGAGGAGCCTTAGCTCAATGGCTTGTGGTCCTGTCATTCATTCAAAAGGCTAGCGGTTCGATTCCTGCCCACGGCATAGCAATCAATTCCGCGCCTTTCTCACTTTATTTCATGAGAATCAGCAAAAGAGCGGCCCTTTTTACGCGCGAACTCAACATTATCCAATTTTACCCATTCTTTCAATTTTTTTCCGCATCTACTCAATCAAAAACGAACAACGTCGTCAGCATATCGAAAACGCGTGATCATCGGGACGAGGTGCTTGCAGGCGGTAGAGCCGTTCAATTTCTGCGTGAAATAGTCGCTGGGCATCAATTTTTCGGCTTCCTCGAGGCTGTCCGTCGAGTTGACTTTCAGCATTCCGAAGAACACCAGACAGGTCCGAGTGATTCCCAGAACTGAAAAAAAAAGTTTTCAGATGCCTAGAGATGAAGCAAATCCCCAAAAGCTTGCTTGCTGTAAGAGTAATTTTACGCCATTAGTGAATGAAATTTTTTTTTCTCTCAACTATAGTATCTCATCTACATGTTTACAGAGCATTTGATAGACCAAGAAAATCCCTGACAATAAATCACGTATTTTTAATTTAATGGAAAAACAGCGCGGAAAAGAAGTGCGCGGGTCTCGCAGCGAAAACAGAAAGCGAAGCGTGGGGATACGGTAGCGGACATCTCCCTGCTGAATGCCAGCACATCACTTGATGGATAAAAATAAGAAAACTATATATAATTTGGATCATTTTTTCGCACTCTACTGTAATTCAGGTCATGGCCGAAACTAACAATTCATTTTCTAGAGCTAAAAACGATCCAAAGCAGTAAAACTGTGGAATTCTAAAACTTTAGTGGGAAAAAGTTGTGATTCACTGATTCTGTTCGCATTATCAAACTCGAATGGTACAAAAATAAACTCAAAAAATATCCAGGCCAGAAAGAATCCCAAAAAACTACTAAATCTCTAAGTTCTGGGTTTGCAAAAGCATATACGGTCAAAAACTTTCCAACTTCCATGATTTACCGAAAGTCGCTGCTTGAAAAATGTATGAGGTATTGATACAAAAACGAAAATTAACGAAAAAAAAACTAGTTTTCTTAATTTAATTGAAAAAAAATGCGAAAAAGAAGTGCATGGGTTTCGCAGCGAAAAGAGAGGGCGAGGCTCAGAGATACGGTAGCGGACATCTCCCTGCTAAATGTCGGCGCGTCTCTTGATGGATAAATATAAGAAAACTGTAGATATTTATGTCCAGTTTTTTGCACTAAAATGTTATTCAAATGATGGCCGACCCTAACAATTCAGTTTTAAGAACTAATAATTATTCAAAACCAGAAAAATTTTAGAGAATTTCAAAAGTTCTAATTTGAGAAAGCTGTGATTAATTAATTTTTTGGCATTATTGAATTGGAACGGTTTTCATTAAAAGAATTAAAAAAATGTCCGGGCCCCAAAGAATCACAAAAATGCTCCTAAAACTCCAAGTTTTTGCTGCTTTCAAGCTTTGAAATAACGTTTAAGGCTAAAAATATAAAATCTTCATGATTTACTGAAATTCGCTGCTTGAAAAATGTATGAGGTATTGATACAAAAAAGAAAATCAGCGAAAAAGATGCCATCTTTCTTAACTTATTTGAAAAACAGTGCGAAATAGAAGTTCGTGGATTTTGCAGCGAAAGCAGAATGCGAGGCTTGGGGATACGGTAGCGGACATCTCCTGTTAAATGTCGGCGCATCACTTGATGGATAAAAATAAGAAAACTGTACATATTTCCGTCCAGTTTTTTTCACTAAAATGTTGTTCAAGTGATGGTCGACCCGAATAATTCAGTTTTGAGAACTAATAATTATTCAAAACAAGAAAATTCATAGAATTCTAAAATTTAAGTGGAAAAAAGCTGAAATTCACTGATTTTTTTTGCACTATTGAACTCGAATGGAACAATAAAACATTTAAAAAATATCCAGGCCCGAAAAAATCTCAAAAAAAACTACTAAATCTCTAAGTTCCGGCTGCTTGCAAGCTTTGCAATAACTTTTAAGGCTGCAAAATAAATATTTTTCATGATTTGCATAAAGTTACTCATTCTTAACTTCATAAGGCATCATTTGAAACAAAGACCTGAGCGAAAATATAGTACGCGTTCTTAATTTAATTGAAATTCAATAGAAGACAAAAGTGCGCGGGTTTCGCAGCGAAAGCAGAATGCGAGGCTTGGGGATACGGTAGCAAACATCTCTTGCTAAATGTCACCGCATCACTTGATAGATAAAAAAAATAAGAAAACTGTAGATATTTCAGTTCAGTTTTTCTCACTAAAATGGTATTCAAATGATGGCCGACCCTGAAAATTCGTTTTATACAGCTAAAAACGATTCCAAACAAAAAAAAATTCATAGAATTCTAAAACTTTAGAGGGAAAAAGCTGAGAATCACTGATTTCATTCGCATTATCAGACTCGAAGGGTAAAATAAAAACTTCAAAAATATCCAGACCGGAAAGAATATCAAAAAAAAAAACTACTAAATCTCTAATTTCTGGCTGGATCCAAGCTTCGCAAGAGCTTATAAGGTCAAAATTTTACATCTTCATGATTTCCCGCAAGTTGCTGCTTATAAAATGTTTAGGGTATCGATACAAAAAAGAAAATAAATGAAAAAGAAGCTAGTTTTCTTAATATATTTGAGAAACAGTGCGAAATAAGAGTGCGTGGTTCTCGCAGCGAAAGCAGAATGCGAGGCTTGGGGATACGGTAGCGAACATCTTCCTGCTAAATGTCCCCGCATCACTTGATAGATAAAAATAAGAAAATTGTAAATATTTCCCTAACTTTTTTTGCACTAAAATGATATTCAAGTGATGGCCGACCCTAAAAATTCATTTTCTTGAGCTAAAAACGATTCGAAACAAGAGAATTCAAAGGTCTTCAAAATGTTTGGTGTGAAAAACCATGATTAGTCAATTTATTCTCGCATTCTCTAAATTTGAACGATACAATATTTGATCAATGAGTGTCCAGAATCAAAAGAATCACAAAAAGCTACTAAAACTTGAAGTTGCGGCTGCTTTAGGGCTTTTCAATAACTTATAAAGCTAAAAATAAAGAATTTTCGTAATTTGCGTAAAGTTACTCATTCTGAATTTCATAAGGCATCACTTCAAACAAATACATCAGCGAAAATGAAGCACGCATTCTTATTTCAATTGAAAAACAATAGAAAACAGAAATGCGCGGGTCTCGCCGCGCAAAGAGAGCGCAAGGCTTGGGGATACTGTAGCGGGCATCTCCTGCTAAATATCAACGCAACATTTAATGGATAAAAATAAGAAAAATAGTCATTTTTGTGATCATTTTTTTGCGTGATAATATCCTTTAGGTGTTGGCCAATCACTATAATTCAGTTGAGAGAAACGCTAATGATTCAAAATCACAAAAATTAAAGATTTCAGAAATCTCCGATGATACTATTTTTAGCAAGAAAAATCAAAACTTAAACTCATAAAACCAACTTTTAAAGTAACGTAGCGGATCTGGGGTGTGGATGAATCCTTCTTTTGTCACATTGTCTTGAGCGAAAGTTAGTTGTTTTTTTATGCACTCACTTATAATCTGAAAATCCGCAGAACTATGAAAAAAAGGATTTTAAAAACATACTTCTTTTCCGTGAATATTTGCAGTATTGAAGACAACGAAGAATAGAAGAAATATGTAACATTTCTGGAAACTCATTGTTGAAACAACAGAAAAACCGAAAACACGCGCCATTTCGAAGAGAAACTCGAACTGTGGAGCCGTCGAAATGTAGGAATGATCAAATTGAATCAACTTTACTTTTTAGTTACGTTTTTTTAAAATTTAATCGATATATTAACTTCAGTAAGTTCAAGCAATGTATTTTATCTCGTCGAAAAAAAAATACGCGATAAAACTAGAAATGCTTCTAAAACACAAAAAAACGTGAAATTAGGGTTTCGTAAGAACATGAAAATTTCTAATGGTTGATATTTTTTTGGAAGAAAAAAAGAAGCTTGAATTTTTTTGATGAATAAGATTCTTTTTCGAGTATCCTTGCTGGAGCGCTGTGAAGTTTGGAAATTTAATGATCTGAATGAAAAAAATTTTTTCGATACGTTTATGAAGTTCATTTGTGCGCCTTATATATATCCCAGCAAGGGCTCCAAAAAGCCTATGAACAAAAAAAAAAAATGAAAAAATTGAAAAAAAAAAATTAAATTTTTCATATTTTTGCGTCGCGGTGTTTGCGGAGACGGGAAGTACAGTAGTAGGGAAACCTGAAAAATTCGTTCCTTTTTTTTCTTTGCCTTTCTTATCTTGTTTTAAGCCTTTTCAACCACAAGGAAGTTTATTAATAGGAAGCACTTTTTAAAAAAACGCTTTTAAAATCAGAAAAAGCTCTCTTGGAATGGTCATTTTTTTCTGCGGAAGCGACGAAAACGTCTTATTTACTTAACGTCCCTCCGCCTCTTCAGCTCACGCAATCGAGCTTCCTTCCCACGGCGTCGAAATTGTTTCCCACGCAATTCTTCCGTCAAAATGTCGATATTTCTCCTTCTTTTTGGCATTTTTATAAAGGTAACTTGATTTCTTTTTTTTTAGAAGTTTTCAAGATAGACAAAGTTGGAAAGGGTAGAAAAAGGCTCCACATAAATGTTCTTTTTTGCTGGCTTTTTGCGCCGTTTTATCGGCTCTTATGTACCTTTTTTCCACGTTTTCTTGAGCCTTTGAAATGCGAGAAAAATGGAAGACAAAGGGGCTATTTTTGTTGCCTTTCTACAGCCTTTTTTGAGCCTCTCCCTTTTAGCGGTCATTATCCACCTTCCCGACTATCCCCATAACAAGCGAAAAATCCATTTCAGGCCTTGGAATGCAGCAAAGAGTGCGAATTATCACTACAGACGATCCCTGGATTCAATCCCTATACTCAACACGATTCCGATGGAAAAGCCTGTCGAGGAACTATTGAATTGCCCCTTTGCCGTGGATACTGCAAGACTTCTGAGGTTTCATTGGAAATTAGTGTTTTTCGTTCAAAAACCAGTATTTTCTATACAAGACTTCAAAATCGTTCTTTTTCACGATTTCGGCTTTAGAGTTCCAGTTGACTTCTTTGATTTTAAAAATAGTAATTTCGTGGCTCGCTCAAGGCTTAAAAAATTGAAAAAAAAATTTGCTTCATATTAAATAAATAAATTTCAGAGTGGAACTCACACATTCCCCCCACGACAACAGAACAGCTCTGCATGCGTTTTGGTCGAAACTTCAAAAAGAGTTATAGTCAATGTTTCCCGACTTGAAAGGTGATATGGGCTGGTTGGCAAGGGCGAGGTGTTGCGTGTGCGACGCGGCTATTTGGCGGCGAGCCAAAAATTCAAATGTGGGAGACAATTTGGAGAGTTCGGTCACCGCTTTTTTATTTCCTTTTTACTTTTTCTTATTCAGTTCTAATGGAGTTTTTTTCGATTTTTATTTATTTTTCTCAATGTAATATTGTAAGCGAACACCTTTTCTGTGTTTTGCATAGAAAGTTTCTCGAAAGTGCAGCGAATCGTGAAGCGTTTTCGGAAAACTTTTCACTGGTTTTTGTTTCTTTCGTATTTGCTAAACTTCTCAGTTTTCTTCTCAACTCAAACCTCTAAAATCTTTATAATTTTTCTATTATGATTGATTGCAGATCGTAAGAAGAGAAAAATTCGTGAGAAGCTATGGTGTTTGAAAGAAAACACTTCGTTGATGGCAAACAGGTTTGTTTCAATTTTTTGAAATTTCTCATTGTCATTTTTCAGCAATTTTTTTTTGTTTTAGTTTTTTTTAAGTCCAATAAACTCTAAAGCTCATCGCTGGCCTCGTCGGGCGAGAAATTCCATTGGAAAAGGCCTCGTCAGAAGAAGGAGACACGTTGATGAACATCGGTCGCCGTTAGAAGAAAAATTTTTTTATTCAATCTATTTTTGGTTAGGCTATTTTTATTGACGTATCATATTATCCGTGTAGATTCGTTGTTCATCCAACACTGGGTTCAACCATTGTCCACTTCAGCGGCATCAAAACGCTGTTTCCGGGATTTCATTCATTCTTAATTACTCTTCGTTGCCGGCGACTAACTCTTCGATTATACCATGGTTCAGCAGAGATTTTTCTTCATCTTACTCTGAAGACTGAATAAATTGAATTGAAATTGAACTCTCCGTTTCCGTCTATTTATTCTCGTTAGAACAATTTCAAGAACGTTTTAAACAAGTTTATTGGAAGGAAAAACGAAAGAACAGGTTAGCAAAACTTTGGGTGGTTGCTGATGCAGACAGTACAAAAGAGAGAATTCATGATGTTACCTGAAAATTAATATTTATTACATGAAGAAAAAATTAGTGCTTGGTTTTTAACCCGAAAAAGTGCATGTCCGTTAATGTAAAATTTTTTGGCGAACAATATATTCACGAACTTTTTCAAGAAAATCTAAGTATTCATTGAAAGAATAGTTAAACCAAGGAACAGAAAGAGAACAGAAACAAGAACTCACAAACCTTGGTAATCGTTCGTAACTCGTTATTTTCTTTCTCATTTCCGTAAAATCTCTGCAGAAATCCTGAATAAAAACCTTTTTAAAAATTGTTATTGATTCGATAAAATACTTCGCAACACTCCGCGAATGGTTACTTCTAAAGGTTTTCACTGCATGCAAGAAAAAAATATGAATGAATTTGAGAAAAAAAAACCATGACCTTTATTGAAAATCGACTCTTCGTGAAACTCGGTGTGAAACCCTCGACTTCTGAGTTTTTGAAATTCTTCAATCGTATTTTGCTTGGTCTGAAAAGCATCATCAATGAATAAATACAGTAAATTTTTCACAGCACAGAATGCACAAGTAAAAAAAATCATATTCCGCGACAAATCAATGAGCAACGATCAACTTGAATAAACATTTGTTTGTGCGAAAAAATATTATTATAGGTTCAAATAAAGTTCCAATAAAATCCACTGAAGCAAATAATTAGCGAAAACATTATAAAAACAGAATAAGAAAAAGAAAAAAGGAAATAAAAAAGCGGTGGCCGAACTCTCCAAATTGTCTCCCACATTTGAATTTTGGCTCGCCGCCAAATAGCCGCGTCGCACACGCAACACCTCGCCCTTGCCAACCAGCCCATATCACCTTTCAAGTCGGGAAACATTGACTATAGTTTTTTTGATTTTTTACTTGAGCAAAGTCAGAAAATAAAAGGAAGAGGCTCAGAAAAAGATTGCAAAAAGGCTCGAGAAATGATGGAAAAAGGGAGAGGCAGCAAAAATGGTGCATAAAATCCGATGAAATGGCGCAAAAGGCCGGAAAAAAGGAGCCTTTGTCACTCTAAAAATTAAATTCTTATGGAGAATCTTTTCACCTTTTCCGACTTATGTAAATTTATTCATGCTTTTAGAACTAAAAAAGGACTTGGCCTGAGAATTTAAGACCTGCTTTTGTTGACTACGCCTGACAAGCATAAAACTTCTACCTCTGAATTTTTTTAAATTTTCAAAAAAATTGAAGGAATTTCGATAGTTTTCTCTTTATAAGCATTTTTTTGTCGCTTGGAAACGGGTATAATATTTTCGAACAAAAACTTTAAATTTTTTTCCCAGTTAAAGACTCCAAGGAAATTGGTTAATGTTACTGTGGCCATGGCCTTTATATCGATGATTTTTTAAGAGTTCTTGGTATTTCTAATCGTCACAAAAAATTTTTTTTTGAAAAATGAGAATTTTAATTTAGTCTCGCCCTACATCTTCGAACTTACATTTATTATAAAACTTTTCACTTTTTGAAGTGAGGAATTTTTTTTGGCATTGAATTCTGTCTTTAAAGACGCAGAAGTACCTCCTTACAAGGAAGGTAATTTCAACCAATAGTTTTAAAATTCCTGAAAATTGGCCAGAACATGTACCAGAAATTGATCCTGTAAGTCTCACCCTTGCCAAACTTCTTAGCCTTGAAAAAGGACACTTCAAAGTCAAAAAAAAAAACCGTTAAAATAAGCTCATTTTGAGCTTTGAGCCCTAATTTCTCGAAAACTAGGAAGTTGTGCAAGTGGAGACTTTCGGTATCTTTATTTGGTACATCCAGGAATGTTCTGGCTCCAATTTTTAGGATAATCCTACCTTCCTTGTAAGATTTCCAGCTTTATATTCCTATATTATCAAGAAAAAAAATTGTATACAGTTGTTTTTGGCTCTACCCGTTCCAAAACTGTCTATAGGCCATACCGTGCCAGCTTTTCACGTTTTTCTTTCCGCCAAAAGATCTTTGTTTCTTGCCGTTTTAAAAGCCACGGAATAGGCTACAATACTCAGTATATAGTTGAGCAAGCAATGGCAAAATGAACTCAAAGCTTCAGTGAACCATAAAAATGTGCAATAAGATGTACAATTTCACATTTTCGTCATAACTTTTCTAGGAATCGTCCAATTATCGTCAAACTTTTCACAGTTGTTTCATATGCGTCCAGTTTGTTATCCCAGTAAAATTAGCGCAATAGCTCACTTTTCAGGTACAGCCTGGAACATAAAATCGACAATCGATCCATTCCAATAACTGTTTTCTAGCGTGAATGGACCAAAAACAACTTTGAAATTGGTTTCGGAGATATTGTCGATTTCATGTTCCAGGCTGTAACTTACTAGAAAAGTGAGCTTTTGCATTAATTTCACTGGGATGACAAATTGGACCCATAGGAAACAGCTGTAGAAAGTTTGAGGATAATTGAAATTCCTAGAAAAGTTATGACGAAAATGTGAAATTGTACATCTTACTGCACGATACTGTAAATATAAATAAAATTCCAGAAAGTAGAGCTGAAAGACTGTGACGAAGGCGCAGCGGACGCGGCGCGGTTCGTCGAAATTCCGCACGGGACCGTCTGCGAATGTAAAAGTCTGCCGCTGGACACCACCCAACCGCCCGTTTGATGCAATTTGTTATTTGAAACTTCTCTTTCTTGTTTGTTCATTCATTGGTTTATCTTGCAAACGTTATAAAGTTCCACTCTTTCTGAAAAATCAGAGAAGCTGAGGAAAAGAGAAAGGCTTACCACTTGGAACATCAGTGTCGTTCTATACTTCTTAGGAAGATCAGAGCGCTCCTTATAAAAGTTAAGGAAAAACGGAAGATAGCTTTAGCGGAGTTAGCTTTAGGGCGAAGAAGCTTCTTCTCAGTTTTTTTGGGGGTGTTTAGCGCGAAGAAGCTTCTTTTCAATTTTTGGGGGTGTTCAGCGCGAAGAAGCTTTCTTCAGTTTTTTTGGTGGGGAGAGTTTAGCGCGAAGAAGCTTTTTCAGTTTTTTTGTGGCGGGGGAGTTAGCTTTAGCGCGAAGAAGCTTCTTTTTTTCTTATCTTGAAGTTTTTTTAAAAAAATCTTTTAGTTATTATTAAAGTCACAAAAAAACCAAAAAAAGATTCGTGGAACATTAAAAATTCTAATTTCTCTTCCATGGGAAAAAAAGTGTCTTTGAATACTAATCATGAAATCGTTATAAAAGGCCCCCAAACGAGGAAATCAAGGAAAACCACTCCGTTGCTGAATGGTATGTTCATTTTTATCAGAGCCTCTCTGACAAATTTACAGGTTCACTTGATAACTTTGACGGTTTTCATCGCGATTTTCGCGGCTTCTCAAGCCTTTTTGGAGTTTTTGGAGACACCGACGATCCCAAAATGCGGGAAAAACGAAAGATATTCGTCCTGCTACTATTGCGAGAAGACCTGCGGCGGTCCCAGCAACAAAGTCGGCTTTTCTTTTTTTTTGAAAAAGAACTGAATTTTCAGAAATGTCGAGAAAGAAAGTGTCAGAAGGGTTGCCTGTGCAGTATGGGGTACACGCGACTAGAGAAAAGTTCTCCCTGCGTTACCAACCAGGAGTGTTTCCTGAGTAGGAAGTGCGGAAGTGTGTTCTGCAAAATCGGAACCGTCTGCGCCCATGATGTGGGGGGTTACGGTTACTGTAAACCAGCAATACTCGGCTAAAACCAAAGAAAATGGAATAAAGCTTGGAATCGTGTGATTTTCATTTGCAGAGGATCATGTCATCGCAATTCAAAAAAAGGGAAAAGTGAACCGATTGAACTTGTTTTATACATACTTTCCCACTGAATAATCAAAATAAAAAATGTGCTAGGAGAAAAATATACAGTTTTGAAGAGGTTTTTCTTGCCTGTCGAACGGTGAACTAAAAAACCTAAAGAACTTCCAAGTTTTGAAAAATTTGAAGAAAAAAATATTCACGGTCTAAGAGAAAAAAAGTTTGAGTTCCCGCCAAAAGGGCGTCTTGCAGCAAAGCTGCTCTATGGACAATTTTCGCTTTTTCTTTTAAATTTCAATTATTTCTACTGTCACCAAAGTAGTTTTGGTCAGAAAAATTTCTTATATAGAATTTCAAATTTCCTTTTCCAGGAGAAGACCATTTGACGAAAAATCCCTCAAAATCGTGTCATCGCAATTTAAAAAAAGGGACAGCTTATTGGGGAAAACTAAACAGATCGGACTTGTGTTATACATACGTTTTCCCACTGAACTCCATTATCGAACCGTAAAAAATCTTAAAGGCATAGGGGCAGTAAGAAATGGGTTTTGAGAAAATTTATTCCCTATCCGGTGAAGTAACTCGTGAGGGTGACCTAAAACCGGTTCTAATTTATTTATTCTTTTTCCCCTTGTGGATGAATTAATTATTATTATTAAAATTATGTCATTTTTTTGAAACTCTGTCTTGTCTGTCGAACGGTGAACTTAAAAACATACAGAACTTCCTAGTTTTGAAGAAAAAATAATTCAAAGGCGGAGAGAAAAAAGTTTGAGTTCCCGCCAAAAGGGCGCCTTGCAGTAAAGTTGCTCTATGGACAATTTTCGCTTTTTGTCCGTTTTTTTTTCTTCAATTTTTTCTGTGGTCATTAATGTAGTTTTTGTCATGAAAACTTTCTATTTACGTAGAATTTCAAATTTCCTTTTCCAGGAGAAAAAAATGTGACAAAAAATCTCTCAAAATTGCTTTCCATTCGTTTTATTTTCTGTACCAAGACTTTTCGTCTTCTCCAAATTTTCTCAAGACTTCATACGTGTTTGATGGCGTAAAATGGTTCTCACTATCCCGTAAATTGAAGAATTTTCGTTTTGGGAAACGTGATGGTTGTTTGATTGACTAGTGAGAAACTGTTATAAAAAGGGCCCTCGGATCGAAAAACGCAAGAAAACCAGCTCCGTCGTTGCTCAATGGTAAGTTCATCACTATTGTAAGATTATCTCTGAGTTGAATTATGTACCAGATCAAACTCCTAACGTGGGCTTTATTTTTCGCGATGTTCGCGACAGCTTTTTCGCGAGGACCATATATTTGGGATGTGCCGAAAAAGCCGGTGACGGTGGCAGCTCGAACTTGTTCGAAAAACGAAACATTAACCGTTTGCGGGAATAAATGCGACGAGATTTGCGGCGCCTCAAAAAAAGTTAGTTTGAACAAAATTTTAAGAAAGTCTTCAAGGGAGGTCATTTCACTTTGCGGTTGGGAAGTTTCTAAAAATTCATCGAATACCAAATTAAGGTCTTGGAAGTCCCAATCTGCCCAACTTCCTAGATCTCTAGAGCTCCATTTTGACTGACTTTGAGCCCTCGTTTCTCAAAAACTAGCAAGTTGTGTAGCTTAAGGATTTCAGAATCCTTTTTAAGTACTCTAGGAAGACAAATTTTCAGCCGCAAGGTGAAATGACCTTCCTTTTTTGCAGTTGAAAAGGTGAATTTTCAGTTATGCCACCTATATTGCGGCCCTCCGGCTTGCACCTGTATTCCGGGTTTCGCCCGGGCTTCTCGGTTAAATGATGCTCCCTGCATATCCCTCAAAGATCCCCTGTGCAAATCCCCCGAAGAGAAGAAGCATTGTCCCTTAGGCTGTGGACCCGGCAAAACTTGCCGACCGCGGCTGTGTTACCGACCGCCTTGTGGTTATAGATGCGTCTAGATAGAAAACAAGGTCAAGAAGTGGAATAAAGTTTTGAATTGAGGGACTGTGAACTACAGAAAGTACACGCAACAAAAAAGATAACAAGTTCGAGGTCTACGTTTAGCAGTTCTTGCGATTTCAAACAGCTCCTTTTTTAAGTAAACTTCTGGAGAAAAGTCTGAAGTTCATCAAAGATACCTTCAATTAGAGTAAAAAGCTGCTACTTTGCAGTATTTTTTATTTGATGATAAAATATTGAATAAAGAGGTCATTACCAATAGAAGAAGAGTCAAGTCTTAAGCTCTATAAACAGGAGAGAAAAAAAGAAGAAGCTGGGAAGAAATCAATTTTTTCAAACTCGGGCAAAGTCGGAATGGTGTATAATGACCGCTAAAAGGGAATGGCTCAAAAAACAGCCGCAGGAAGGCAACAAAAAGGGTTCCTTTATCGAGCCTTCCATTTTTCTGGGATTTTAAAGGCTCGAGAAATGGTGGAGAAAGGGAGAGGCAGCAAAAAGGGTGCATAAGGGCTGAGAAAAAGGCAGCAAAAAAGCAACATTTCTATGGACCTTTACGGACCCTCGGAGGGTCCTTCCGACTTTGCCTATGAAGAGCTCTATGTCCATGCATGGGCAAAGTCGTAAGGATCATTCACGGGACCTTTTTGGGTCCGTTATTTATCGAAATGTTTCCATTGATTGATCCTAATCCTAAAGGAGTCGCAATGGTTTCCTTTTAACTGCCTTTTTCCGTCCTTTGATCAGCTTTTATCCACCCTTTTTGGATCCTTTCTCGAGAATAATCTTCACCAATGACTGTGTATGAACCAAAATGTGCTACAGTGATAAAATCGGAAATTTTCGAAGACCTAGACTTCCAGCACACTTTTTACACTCTTTTTTGAGGTTTTTTTTTAGCTCACTAAGAAAGAAAGGCTCAATAAAGGGCGCAAAACGGAACCCTTCTAGCGGCCATTTTGCAGTCACTTTCTCTTTGCACCCGTACTTCCGTATTTGGCTGTGTGAGAATCTTCTACTTTTGTGAAAAAAAAATGAGAATCTATACTAAACTTATTTGAATCCTCAAACAGTTCCCATCATCAAATATTCCCTGAAATGAATTTTTAATTTTCACTATTTTCTTATGGGAAAATGCATTGGTTGTTTGATTAACCGCTGGGAAAAGACTATAAAAAGGCCCTCGAGCCGAGAAATTGGTTGAAAAGAGCTCTTTCTCTGCTAAATGGTATGTTGATTTTTTTCAGATTTTTTCAGAAGAAGTAAATCATTTTCCAGGTCAAGCTACTAACTTTGACGATCCTCTTTGCGACTTTGACGGCTTTTCAAGCCTTTCTGTTACCTAGGACTGAACCAAAATGTGGTGAAAACCAACATTTGAATCGCTGCGGCAACGAGTGCGATGAGATATGCTACGTTCCAAAAAAAGTGCGTTTGAAGAAAGTTATTCGAAAGAACAGCGGAAATTCCATCAATGATGTCATTTTTTGAAGCAACTGCAGTGAAGCCTTGGTATAACGTTTTCCAATTTCGTTTTGAGACCCGAAATTACTGTCACAGTAACTCGACATAGTGTAGAAGCTTTCAGGCTAGTTGCTGTGAGGCTCCGCCCCCTCACTGACTTACAGTAAATGTTTTAATCAAAAATACAATTGTTTCCTAGTTGACGGATCGACTTTAAGAATAGAAAGTGGTTTTTTGAAAAGTACTTTTCCCTAAAATACCTACAGTAACCCAGTGAGGGGCGGAGCCTCAGAATAACCAGCCTGGAAGTTTACACTCTATAACTAGATAATAATTTCGACTCTCAAAACAAAACTTGAAATTCTAGTACCAACGGTTTAACGCGAATCTCAGAGAACGTATAGTAAATGATCCTAATATTGCTGATCCGCGATTAATAATAATAATATTATTTATTTATTTCATTCAAAAAGGAAACTCCAAAAGCTTTGAAAAACATTTCAAGACATAAAGAACAAAAAATGACAGAATTCGGACCGTTTGGCAAGTCGCGCACCTGTTATTTGACTATGAAAGGTAACCTTAATTCGCGGCTGGGAATTTCCCGAAAATTGGCCATAACACTTCTTGATGTCCCAGATGAAGATTCTGAAAGTTTCAACCTGCACAACTTCTTTTTTTTCGAGGATCAAGGGCTTGAAGCATAAAAATAGACTGGTTTTATGGATTTAGAGGGTTTTCTTTCACGCGTCTTTTCTCGAAAACGAGCAAGCTTTGCAGGTTCAGACTTTCAGAATCTTCTTCTGGTACATCAAGAAGAGTTCTGGTCAATTCTCAGGAAAATACCAACTGCAAGGTAAAACGACCTTCCTTGTAAGCGAACTTGAGCGAAAAGTCTTATCGAAAAAGGTGAATAATAAAAAAATTTCAGCCTTGTAAAAAAGTTTGCTATTCACCGGCCTGCGCCTGTCTTCCTGGATTCGCCAGGTTGTTCAACTCGAAATCCGCCCCGTGCATATCCAAAAGTGACCCTGCCTGCAGCAAATGTCGCGGAGGCTGTGAGCCAGGGAAGTCTTGCAAACAAGTTCTGTGGTGCCTCCGAGAGCCTTGTCCCCTTTCTCACAGTTGCGAAGAAAACTATAAGAAGGGTTAGAAAGGCGAATAAAGCTTCGAATCGTGTGATTTTCCTATATTGAAGATACATTGTGAATTCCAGGGAGAGGCATGAAAAATGAAGAAAAGGACAATGTTAATTTTCGTGGTGGTTGTTTGATTGACTAGTGAGACACTGTTGTAAAGGGCTTTCAAAACGAAAAACGCAAGAAAACCAGTTCCGTCGTTGCTTTGATCATCTCTGAGCTGAGTAATGTACCAGATCAAACTCCTAACGTGGGCTTTATTTTTCGCGATGTTCGCGACAGCTTTTTCGCGAGGACCAGATATTTGGAATGTGCCGAAAAAGCCGGTGACGGTGGCAGTACAAACTTGGCAGTCACGCGTTTTCGCCCATGGACGCCATTCCAAGATTTTCTTCGTCCACGTGTCCTGTAGCGATCTTCTTTGCGCAGAGCCATTTTCTCTACACAGCTTCCGACCAAACTTGGCGTAGCTTCAACAATTCATAGAGCCAGGAGTTTCTTCGTCTGTCGAGCAATGTTACACCGAGCATTCATTGCATCCTTTTCCGCTCTTTCGTTGCCAGAAGGTCCCTCTCTTTCTTCTTTAGAGTCCATGTTTCCGAACCATACAGAAAGGCTGGCCGTTGGATTTCGGTATAGGCTTTTCAATGTCGAGCAAAAAGAGACGACGTTCCTTGGTAGTAGAGTATGTCCTTGGTGTCATTCAAGACAAGGCTACCAGTGCCGGCCCGAACAGAAAGTACAGGCAACAAAAACATAACAAGTTTGACGTCTGCTTCTAGCTATTCTTGCAATTTCAAACAGCTCCTTTTTTCAGTATACTTCTCGAAAAAAGTCTGAAGTTAATCAAAGATACCTTGAATCAGAAATAAAAGCTGCTAACTCGCAGTTTTTCATTTTATGATAAAATATTAAATAAAGAGGTCATTTTCAATAAAAAGAAACGTCCAGTCTATGAGCTCCATATACACAAAAGGAAAAAAAAAGAAGAAGCTGGGAAGAAATCAATTTTTTCAAAGGGCTCTATGTCCATGCATAGGCAAAGTCGGAAGGACCCTTTACGGGCCCTTTGAGCGTCCGTTATGGATCAAAATGTTTCCATTATCGTTCCTAAAAGGGTGGCAACGGTTTCCTTTTTGCGTCCTCTCATCGACCTTCATCCACCCTTTTTGGATCCTTTTGAGAAATACAATTTTTTTTAAAAATTATGAGTAATCTTTACAAGTGACTGTGTATGAACCAAAATAAGCTTCAGTAAAAAAAATCGAAAATCATCAATAACAGAGACTTTTAGAACCCTTTTGCACCCTCACTCTTTCTTCACCTTTATTGCGGCCTCTCCCTTTTTTCGCCCTTTTATGACTCTTTTTAGCCCACCAAGAATGAAAGGCTCATCTAAGGCGGTAAAAAGAGACCCTTTTAGCGGCCATTTTGCAGTCACTCCCTTTTTGCACCCGTTTTCCGCCCTTCCGACTTTGGCAGTGGTCACTTTTAAAGATTATTCTTAATTCAAAAAAATTTATTTCTCGAAAGGGTCCAAAAAGGGCGGATGAAGGCCTATGAAAGGACTCAAAAAGGCAGTAAAAAGGAAACTTCTGCCACCCGTTTAGGAACAATTAATGGAAACAGACGAGTGCGTAACGGACGCTCAAAGGGCCCATGAAGGATCATTCCGACTTTGCTTATGACTAAGAAAGAAAAGCTTAATAAAGACCGCAGAACAGAACCATTTTAGCGGCCATTTTGCAGTCACTTTCTATTTGCACCCGTTTCCCGCACTTCCGACCTTGGCAGTGATGAGAGGATCTTCTTCTTCTTACGCCTTTATACCGCTTGAGCGGCGTCGGCACCCCAAGCCGAAGTCCTATCCTGATATCAGTGATAATCAGTGGACCGGCTCCAGTGACATATCCGTCCTTGTGTGTGACGACTGAGGATTATGAAGCCGTGGTTTCCGACTACCAACATTACTTAAACCTCTTGGTTGGGTCGGGGATCGAACTTGTGACCCTGTGGACCGTAGTTGCGCTACGGCGCGCCCTGATGAGATGATTTGTAAAAAAAGATGAGAATCTATACTAAATTTATTTGAATTCTCAAAAACAGTTCCCATCACCAAATATTCCCAGAAATGAATAATTAATTTTCACTATTTCTTATGGGAAAATGCATTGGTTGTTTGAATAACCGCTGGGAAAAGACTATAAAAAGGCCCTCGAGCCGAGAAATTGGTTGAAAAAAGCTCCTTCTCTGCTAAATGGTATGTGGATCTTTTTAAGATTTTTTCAGATTGAAGTAAATCATTTTCCAGGTCAAACTACTAACTTTGACGATCCTCTTCGCGACTTTGACGGCTTTTCAAGCCCTTCGGTTACCGAGGATTGAACCAAAATGTGGTAGAAACCAACATTTTGATCGCTGCGGCAACCATTGTGATGAGATATGCGACGTTCGAACAGTGCGTTTAAGACATTTATCCCAAAGTACAGGGGGAAATTCTATCAATGATGTGATCTTTTGAGGCAGAGCTGCGCGCAGACCGGATTCGATACTCGGAATTTCAATTTTTGATGTTTTTTTTTTCTTTGAATTTTTAAGTTAAAGGCATAGGGACAGTAAAAAAACGGTGTTCCAGTTCAAAGTAGTACTTTGTAGAGCTTTTCATAGCGATTCGACTTGGAAACGTACCGAACTCCCTACATTTGGAGAAAAAATAATTCAAAGTTGGAGAGAGGAAAGCTTGAGTTCGCGCCAAAAGGGCGCTTTGCAGTAAAGTTGCTCTATGGACAACGCGCTTTGACATTTTTTCTAGTAGGACAGTCGATGAACGCGTTAGTAAAAGAGTTTCAAGTTTTGTTTCGAGACTCGAAAGTACTGTCATAGTTACTTTACATAGTGCGTATGCTTTTAGGCTAGTTACTCTGAGGCTCCGCCCCTCACTGGGTTACGGTGGGTATTTTAGGGGAAAAAAAGAAGAGTTCTGGTCAATTTTCCGGAAAATCCCAACAGTAAAACGAAAAGTCTTATCATAAAAAGATGAATAATCGAAAATTTCAGTCTTGTAAAAAATTTTGCGGTCCACCGGCCTGCGCCTGTCTTCCTGGATTCGCCAGGTTGTTCAACTCGGCATCCGCCTCGTGCATATCCAAAAGTGACCCTGCCTGCAACAAATGCCCGGGAGGCTGTAAGCGAGGAACGTCTTGCCGACAAGTTCTGCGGTGCGTTCAAGCGCCTTGTCCCAATACTCACAAGTGCCTACCTAATTAGAAAAAGGGTCAAAATGGGGAATAAAGCTTTGAATCGTGTGGTTTTCCCATGGTAAAGGAACATTGTAAACTATGAAAAATGAAGAAAAATAAGGGGGCGTTCATTTTCAGCTTCTTTAAGCACAAGCAGATCTACTCCCTTGTGGTTGAGATTTTCTGGAAAATTGGTCAGGACGCTTCTTGATGTTCCAGATGAAGATTCTAAAACTCTCAACCTGCACAACTTCCTCGTTTCCAAGAAAAGACGCCTCAAAGTCAAAGAAAACCCTCAAAGCCCATAAAATAGGCTATTTTAAGACTTTAGACCCTTATTTCTCGAAAACTAGCAAGTTTCGCAGGTTGAGACTTTTAGGATCTTCATCTGGTACATCCAGAGGAGTTCTGGCAAGTTTTCAGAAAATTCTTAACTTTAAATTAGAATGACCTCTCCTGTTAGCAAAGATCAATAAAACACAGGCTTAAATTTTCCTAGAACACAAGTTATGGCCGCATTTGGAATGGCTAGACGCGCGAGGCGCAAAATTAAAAAATTAAGGAAATGAGCTATGATTCGTGTGGCTTTCCTTTACTGAAGAAACATTGTGAACCCCAGGAAAAGGCATGAAAAGTGAAGAAAAATAGGGGAAATGTTAATTTTCAGCTTCTTTAAACACAAACAGATCTATCCCCCTTAAGGAAAGTCAATGAAACACGGTATTTAAAAATCATGCTGAATTTTCCTGGAGTACAAGTTATGACCGCATTTGGAATGGCTAGACGCAAAATTAAAAAAATCAAGGAGAATCAGCTTTAAATCGTGTTTCTTCCCTATACTGAAGAAACATTGTGAATTCCAGGAAGGGGCAATAAAAATGAAAAAAAATAGGGGAAATGTTAATTTTCAGCTTCTTTATGTACAACAAGATCTCTTCTCCTTAAGAAAAATCAATAAAACTCGGGATTTAAAAATCATGCTGAATTTTCCTGAGTACAAGTTATGACCGCATTTGGAATGGCTAAAAGCAAAATTGAAAAAATTAAGGAAATGAGCTATGAATCGTGTGGTTTTCCTATCCTGAAGATACATTGTGAAAACCAGGAAGGGGCATGAAAAATGAAGAAAAAAAGGGACAATGTTATTTTTCAGCTTCTTTATGTACAGACACATCTATTCTCCTTAAAAAAAATCAATAAAACTCGGGATTTAAAACTCATGCTGGATTTTCCTGGAATACAAGTTGTGGCCGCATTTGAAATGGCTCGACGCAAAATCAAAAAAATAACGAAATACGCAACGCGACCGCCACGCTTCAAATCAGTAAAATTATTATTTTCACGCAGAAAAAAGTCTCCAAAATAATTCTTTTCACCCATAAAACTGAAAAAACCTTATCATACAATCAAGGAAAAATAAAATGGTTGCGTCAAAGTTTGCCCTGCATCGCGTTCATCCGTTCTTCTGAAATCCCGATTCTAAAATTCCTTCAAAACTGGAAAAACCAACTTTTCTTCTTTGTACTCTTCGAAAGTGGCGCTCAATGTTGCTTTACTCGTCTGAAACTTTTTATCGCTTTAAAAATCCTGGAATATTTTAACCTTATTCGCCTTTTTCTCCTTCATTTTCTCCTCTTTTTCAATTTTCGGCTTGGGACTTTGGGACCGGGAAGAGGGCTGGAAAATAGAAATATTATTCCCTTTAAAGTGTTGAAAAAACCTTGGATCTCGGATTTCCATTACATTCGGAACAAAGGAAGATGAATCTCAGGTCGTTTGCTTGATCTGAAGTGATTGGAGGCTGATGGCATCTGTAAAAATCCGGTTTTTTTACCATTTGAAGAATTCTGGTCGTTGCGCAGTTGTTTGAACGCTTGGCTATTCTTCAAAAGGTCACAAGTTTGATTAACACTTCCTCTTTCCCAAAAAATTGACTCATAGAAAAAATCGAAAATCCCTAATAGAAGTTAGGAGCTGGTTTTCTACGGCCCTCAAAAAATTCAAAACGCCTTCCCCTTCTAAAAAGAAGATTTTGATGCCCATAGGGACTGAACCTGCGACCTCTTGAATAGAAGTTACCTATGAAAATCACTGCGCTATCCCTTCGAAAAGCTCCATCAAAGCTAGGGTAACTAATTCGATGTGTAACATACCATTCAGTATTAAAAAAAACTTTCAAATAGCCAACTTTTTGCGCCTAAAGCCTCCCACTCTCCTGGCAAAGACGAGGGATGGAACCTGAGACCCTTTGAGTGATAGAAAAGCTCAAAACCACTGCGCTAACCTAGATAGAAGCGTTCAAGACTCCCAAGAAAAACTAGGAACAGACTTAATGTGGAGATCAAGTCATAATGTGAAAAAATAAAGAAATAAATCAAAGTAAACTGATAAGGATCCCTACTTCCAAACTTCCCCACTCTCTTGGCGGAGACGGGAACCGATCTAATACTAGGAACGGATTTAAAGTGCTAAGAGTGGTAGTTAAAACGAACAAATAAGTTTGGGTGAACTGGAAATAAACCATCCCTCCAGGTTCTCCTGCCGTCAGGAACTGAACCAATGACCCATCGAACTAGAAACAAGACCATAAAATAAACCACTGCGCTAGCCCTTTTAAGAGCTTCTAAGATTCCTCAGAACAATTAAAAACCCAAGTTTTAACCCCGAAATTGAAAGAATAAGTCAAAGTGAACTGAAAATACTTCACAAAATTCGAGATTCTCCTGGCGACAGGAACCGAACCAGTTACCTCTTGAACAACACTCAAGCCTTCAAACCACTGCGCTAGTCTAGAAAATATCTTTTAATACTCCTAAAACCAACTAGGAACTGACTTAAAGTATGAGCAAAGTTTTTAAATCGAAAAAATGGAGGAATAAGTTAAGGTAAACTGGTAAATCTCCCAAAACTCGAAATTGGCCTGGGGACCCTTCGAACCAAAAAACAGCCCATAAGCCACTGCGCTAGTCTAGATTGGAGCTTTCAAGATCCCTAAGGACAATTAAGACAACTAACTGATTTAAGGTACTAAGTTTTATTGTTAAAACGGTTAAAAATTGAAAAATAAGCCAAGATGAACTGAAAATACTCCCCCCTCCCAAAACCTCAAGATTCTCCTGGCGACAGGAATCAGAACCTATGACCCTTTGAACCAGAAACAAGACCACAGACCACTGCTCCATTTTTTCCATACTCACTTCATGTGATACGCGTCTGAACAACCGTCACAAGTCAAAATCGCGTTTGTCGATGTGGAACTCTGGCCGGCGCATGCTTTGCAAGGCTAAAAATGATACTTTCAGGAGAATTTATTTCGGAAAAGACCTTTTCTGGTTCGTCCTTCGAGTCATCAATGATCGGAGCCTGCTTCTTTATCACGGATTTTCTTCTGGAAAAAAGAAATTTTTTTCCAAAATACTGAAGACTTTGAAACTTTTTGAAGCGTTCGAAAAAGATTAAATATGAGAAGAAAAACATTTATTCATTTTTTTCTTCGTTTTTTTCCTGTCCGGTAAGCTTCTTGCTACACCTTCTCTTATCAATCAATAAAATCCAAAAATTTCTGACGAAAATAATTTCCGTCCTCCTGAAGCACCTGTTTAGGCGCTTCGATGGGCATTTCGATGATTTTCCTCTTCACGGTCATGGGCGGAGCCTGGATCCTCTGCGTGCCAGTGATCCGTTTTGAGTTCGGTCCATAGGGCGAATTCGACGACTTGCTGGCTGAACCGCCGGATCCTCGGTCCAAATCTTCGGGCTCCATCCATAAATCCTCCGGCGCCACGTCGGTTTTCGCGTAGGCCTGGAAAATATCAATGATTCACGGTTAATATGGGGCGTGACCCGTCAAATAAAGATTTGAAACGTCGCACCAGTTTTCTCACAATTCTAGTTTGGGCCATCGGAAAATGGGCCCTGGCACAAAAAGATAGTGTTTGGTTGGTAGAGAGCGCAGACAAGGCCACGCCTCCTCAAGTCCCAAGCTATAGCTGATCCACGACTAGCTCGGGCCGTTAAAAATGGGTCCCGACACGATAAGAAAATAGATAGTGTCTGGTTGGAGGAGAGCGCAGGTAGGCCGCGCTTCTTTAAGTCCCAAGTTAAAGCTAATCTACGGCTAGCTTGGGCCATCGAAAAAAAAGGGTCCTAACACGATTGAAAAAGAGATAGTTCCCAGTTGGGTGAAATCGCAGAAAGGCCACATCTTTCCAAGTCCCAAGCTATACCTCATCCACGGCGAGCTTGGGCCGTCGAAAAAAGGTCCTGACCCTATTGAAAAAGAGATAGTGCCTGGTAGGTAGAGAGCGCAGACGCCTCTTCAAGGGCCTTTGAAAAAATTGGGCCTTGACACGATTGAGAAAGAGACAGTTCGCAATGGGGGAGAGCGCAGACAAGGCCACGCCTCTTCAAGTCCTAAGCTATAGCTCATCCACGGCTAGCTTGGGCCATCGAAAAAAGAGTTGATATGATAAGAAAAGGGATAGCGATTAATTGGTGGGTAGAATAGACAGGCCACGCCTCTTCAAGTCCCAAGTTACAGCTGATCCATGGCCAGGTTGAGCCTTCGAAAAAGGATCCTGACACGATAAGGACAGAGGCAGTGTCTGATTGATGGAGAGCGCAGACAGGCCACGCCCCTTTAAGTCTCAAGTTACAGCTAATCAACGGCTAGCTTGGGCCATCGAAAAGGTCCTGACACGATTAAAAAAAAATAGTGTCTGGTAGGTAGAGAGCGCAGACGTCTCTTCAAGTCCCAAGCTAACCTTGGAAATCACTTCCGTCAACACCCCCGCCCAAGTTCAATATCTACGAACCGCCTCAACGATTCTTCTCGAGTTCGTCGCCCGCATCGGCCTCCTGGCTGAACATGAGCCGAGTCAGCTTCTGGATGTAGTCGTCGCCAAAGGGACACTTTTTCCGGACTTTTTCCACCGGCACGGGCATCGGCCCGATCCCTCCTCCGCTGACGGAGATGATGGAGCCGCTGGACGTCGAAATGACGGAAATGTTACTGGAAGAGGAAGTCGAGGCCGTGGCGGGGGAGAGCATCAAGGAGCCTTCTCCAGGGACGCTCATCTGAACGAGTTCGGTTAATTTTGAGTCATTTCAGAATGTTTCATTTTGTGATTTTATAACATCCTGTTTCAAAAAGATTCAAAAAATCAATTTTGTTCAAAAATTCTTGTTAAACTGTTCAAAAGGTGCATGAAAAACAGTTTTATAAAGCAGATTTCAGTTTTTTTAGTCATGCAAAAACTTTTTTTGAAACAAAATATGGCTATTAAAAAAACCAGATAAAAAAATGAAAAATGCCAAAAAAATCTTTTTGAAAAATAATCAAACTCGTCTATCATCTTTGAAACACTTTTTTTGGATTCTCCACGAAACACTATGATATAATAGAACTTAGCGACCTTCAAATCTTTAAAAATCTTCTGAAAAATTTCAAAAATGCACGAAAATTTCTAGCCGCTCTTATTTTCCAATTCCAGTAAAAAAATTAATGATCATATTCACAAAATTATCTATCTTAAAAACTGAAAAAAAGCAAAAAAACTCAAATAATTATAAAAAAATGAAAAAAATCAAGTAACAGCGATGTTAGTAACAACACTTTAAAATCGTAAATCAACAAAATAAAAAATGAAGAAAACTTTATTCCGATAACAATAACAAAATTAAAAAGGCTAGGACATCCTAAAACAAGAAATTTCAATAATTACAATGACTTCGGGACAAAAAAAGATGAAAATTAAACAACAGGGGGCATGTAGGGATCATCCTCGGCGCGGGCTTCGTTCAGAATCTTGTCCTTGTAATCCATATACCTAAAAAATCATTTCTTCAGAATAAATTTATAAAAATACGTGAATCAGGTAGGATCAACAAAAAAAATTTGTTTTGAAAATTATTTCAGGGAATAAAAAACCAGACTTTCTTATTTCAAGTCCAAACAGTAATGAAGAACACAGGCGAATCGAGAAGGTATAGTCAATGTTTCCCGACTTGAAAGGCGAAGGAGGCGGGGCAAGGGGCGGGACGCGTAGCGTGTGCGTTCGCGGTTTCTGGCACGTGTTCAGTTCAATTGTCACCGACTATTCAAAAAGCTCGGCAACCGCTTTTTTTCAATGTTTTCTACTATTTTTTGATGCACACAGGAACATAATCGATAAATAATTGAAAAAGGAATGAAAAGAGCGAAAAACGGGCATTTCAAAGAGTCGATGGCGGTTGAATTGAACACGTGCCAAGAACCGCGAACGCACACGCTACGCGTCACGCCCCCTGCCCCACCTCCCTCGCCTTTCAAGTCGGGAAACATTGACTATACCTCTCAAAATGGATCGTGAAGAACCCCATAAGGTATCCATCGTGAGACCTCCAGGATACCTTTTAGCTATATCTGAGCCATTTCGAGTCTCTCTCAAGGCCCCTCTCATTTTGCTCAAAATCCTCAGAGGTATACTCGAGGTACCATCGATAGAATTCAGAGCCTGAGATATACCTCATAAGGGTCTCCCGATACCCTTTCTCGATTCGCCTATAAATACCCTCCTTGAACTGTCTCTGTGTTTATGATATCTCATCGTGTTTTAGCACCTCTCTTTGTGTTTTATTCAACCCTTTTTAGGGAACTTTTTACATCCCCCGGTTAAAATTTTAATGAAACTTTGCAGAAAGCTACTTAAGGACCTCCCGATTGCAGAACAAAAAAAAACTTCTCGCAATAGATCTTGTTTTCGAGTTATGAAGCTCCAAAAGCTTAAATTAGCGCGTTTTGTCTAATGTGCGTATTTTGAGGACTTTGAAGCTTCATAACTCAAAAACGAGATTTATTTTTGAGACTCTAAGTGGTCCCTATAGAGGTCTTCCGATTTTTTTTGTACAGATTTAAAAATTAAAAAGACCAAGTTTGTTTCATAATTTTTCATTCAAACTAACGCTAACTTATTGGAATTTTTTTGCCAGGTTCCTGGAAAGCTCAAAGTAGTTCTCAAAGGCTAAGAATCATATAGAAAAAAAAACGTTCCTTCATTTTATAAAGTTCAATATACTTAAAATTTCTCGGAGTTCGAAAAAAATGAGGTGAAACTTTAGCTTTTCAAAAAAAAAAAGAGGAGCATTCGTCGGCTGGTAGGCAACCCCCATGGAGCCATGGAGCGGCCTACCCCTTGAAAAATCCGGTCTATTTCAGTCCGTTTCAAAGTTCTTTTTTCGCGGGCAAAAGGCTTGAGTGGGAAACAGCCGATGTGTAATCCGGAGCAATTTTTTTTTTCAAAGTGTAATGAAGAAACTAGTTTTTGTTCAAAAAAAGGGTGGGTTACAAACTTCTAGAACTTTTCTGTGCGTTATGATACCTACTGGTATATTTTACTTGTTTCAAATCTTATATCAAGTCCTATTCTCCTCGTTTCAGTTCAGTTACTTCAATCTTGAGAGAAGTTAAGATTTCACAAGTTTTACTTTGTCCGATCCTCCGTAAAACCTTTCTGAAACCGTTCGTTTTTTTTCCAGTAATTAAGGGCTTCACCAAACCCTCCCGAAATGAAAATTTTTAAAATTACTCAGGTTCAACTTTTCCGTACCTAAACTTTTTATTGGCGGCTCCAGCGCGGTGCAACTGCTGGAGTATCCTGGATTCGACCAAGTCCAGGGCCTTTTCTCGACAAAACGACCGTGTCGAACTTCAGAAGGGAGAAACAATTGAGGCCTTGGACGGGCATGACCGTCAGCCAAGGCAGCTCTTTCATTGCCTCAGCCAGGCCACCGTTAACCTTAAAAATCCGAAGTAAGAATCGATTTGGATGATTTCTCGACCTCATCGATGTCGTCGATCATCAGCACCGAGTAGCCCCCAATTCCGTTTGTCGCAGAGCTAAAAAGTAGAACTTTTAGAGAAGGAGAAATATTTATATCTAACATCAACATAAAATTGAGGATCCCCATTGGGCAGGTCCGTTAAACGGTCCACAATTTGGAGGTCATCTTGGGCGAGTTTTACCGTCAATGCGACACAAAGGCCTGAAAATCGATATTTTCCGGTTGAAATTATGAAATCGCATTTCGTTGGTTCCAGATACGCAACTTTCCTCAATCTTGAAAGGCTCTATGGGAAAAAAAATCGGCGAAATTCTTAAAAACAGCTTCAGAAGCTTTTGAACAGTCTTCAACTTCTCACAAGGAAGGGGATTCAAAAGTTCGGGATTTTTTGAAACTTGGTACGCTGACAAGAACTGTCTCAGCCTCATGGTGCAGCTATGACCCGCTGGCCTACGTAGACCAGGTCACTTTTTAATAGTGACGTCATAGTGCAGGACTTCCCAAAAACGTCACAGGTCTCCGAACATTTAAAAAACCAATTTTTTGACTTTTTATAGATGATTTCAATGATTAGATCCTTCTTTTTTTTCAAGTGCTTTGGGCATCCGCTGTACTACAAAATATTCATTCAGGTGAAGTCCCCCCTGTCTTCTTCTGCCCAGTAAAGGGGGAGTCGGAGGGTGAAAGCTTCATTCGCGTTAAACAATGTTGAAAAAAAGATCTTTCAGGCGATCATGAAGATAAAAAGTTTGCAATTTATTTTTTCATTCTTTTGACCAATGAATCAAGACTAGTTTCTTCCCGAGCGTCAATTTTCGAGATAAAAATTCGTTCCACAGTCCTTTTTTCTTCCCACTGACCCTGAAGCCGGATCGAGTCTGGCAGCATGTAGAACCAAGTTCTGGGCCCACGGGCGCCATGGGCGAAACCACCGCGGATGAACTGCGGCGAGCGGATCGATCCGACGTGGGCTCTTCCAGTCTTCTTCTGAGGCCACGGCTTCTTCCCGCCGCCCGGCATTTCGGCCTTTGTCAGCATTTTCGTCATTTGCACGTTTCGATAGACCATTTGCCAGGTGATGTTTCTGGAATTATGGCTTTTTCATGTCAATTTGAAAAGAAGCTGATCGTCAGAACGCTCAAAAACGTCTGCTACTATCAGAAAAAAACGTGATGATCTACGCCTCGTTCATGATCAACGACAGTTTCGCGAGCTACCAGAAGCAGGGGACTATGGAGAAGCAGCTGATCGTTGGAACTATCAAAAATCGTTTTTTTACACTATCCTAAGAAGGGCGTGATGATCTACGCCTCGTTCATGATCAACGACAGTTTCAAGAACCGACTTCAATTATTCCATGATTCAGCGGAGAATTTTCTCAGAAAAAGTGTAAAAGTTCTACCCTCCAAGGAAAGTACAAAAAAAAATAGCTGTTCAAGTTTTAAGCTTGAAAATATGAAATAATATTCTTCTTTTCATTAAAAGGTCTGGATTTCTAGAACGAAAATTATTCGTAGAGAGTTAATTGATTTTTAAAGCTTTTCATATCAACTTTATTTCGAAAATTTCAAGCTTAGAGATAAATTTCCGTCAAAATTCAAAAAACGAAACTTTTTCGGTCACAAGTTTATTGTATCCAGTTCAATATTCCTGAAAGATTCTGGAGTTGTAGTGACTACTGTTTGTAAGAACCTGGTGCCGTTTCAGTTTGCAGAGGAAAAAGTGCCCTTTTTTCAAAGATTCATGCGAGAAAATTGTAGACAGAAAATATTTTTTATTTTTTCTGACGATATAGTCCGTTCAGATTTTTACTGGCAAGTGCAATGACGTCATTCAAAAACACTCTGTGGATGGCTCGCTCTCTGATTGGTTTATCGCGCCATTAGGGGGCGGAGCTTAAGCGAGGACTTGACATTTGAAATCTGAACAGACTATACTGTAAAAGGTAAAATTCATTAAAAATTGAGGGAATATAGGATTTTACGAATTTTAATGATGGGTCTCTTTCAAATTTCAATTTCCATTATTTTTCGAATAAGATAACCTCAAGAGTCAGATTTCAAACAAACCTATGCAAAATATCCAATCGAGGCGTGACCCTGAAAACGTCGGGATGCAAATCGACGATTCCCAGGCGTTCATCTTCCACGTTTTCCAAGGAGGATACCCAAGCCTAGAAGAGGAAATTGCGTTGTTTTTGTTTTCCCATTTTAATGGATTTACGCAATGATCCCATACGTGGACTTGATCCAACGACAAGCGCGAAAAAAAATTCGAAAATTTACTAAAAACCGCATTTTTGAAGGGTAGGCCGCAATTCGTGCACTTCGAGGTTGGATCCACCCCAAGATCCTAATATTCTTCCCGGAAAGAATGAGAACAAGAGGGACTTTCAATCAACCCTCATGTCATAACTCTAGAAACGAAGCTTGAAGCCAGATGTTCCTTTAAGGGACCACTTCAACTCCCCATTCGGCACGACAGTGACAAAATTACCCCTAAAGTGACCACTTCCTCAAACCTGCGGCGTTTTGATGAACGGACTGTTGGGCTTCCGCCAGAGCTCTCGCTTCATATCGACGATCCGCGTCGCTGTGACGTCATTTTCAAAGCTTCGCGACGTTTCTGGCGACGTTGATGTCGCCAAGCAGCGCGACGCCGGTGACGTCAGAATCGTCCGGAAATGTCGGGTGAGCATCTGGAGGAAAATTATCAAAATTGCTTGAATGTGTCAATCAAGTTCAATATAAAACATTTCCAAGGGGTTCCAGAAGGGGGGAAAAATCAGAAATCGGAAAAAAAAATAGGTAATGAGTAAAAACGCTAGAAGCTTATCAAGTATGTGTAGACGGTTTAAAAATTTTTCAAAAATTATTTCTGGGTTCATCAAATCATAAATAAATGTAACATTATCATAAAAAAACGAATTAAAAAAAGCCAAAAAAATCAAAAAAAATCTGAAACCTGGAAAGGTCATCTTTAAGGAATCATAATGGAAACTAGACTACTAAGAAACCTCAAAAAGTACCATAATTTTTTTAAAAAAACATCCCTTAAACTCTCTGAAACTTTCAACAAAAAAATCAGTCCTATAAAATCATTTAAAATATAAAAAAACGTTAAGAATCCCTAAAAAAACTACCATAATCCAGATTTTTCATTCTAATATTAGCATAACTAACAAGAAGTTGAATGATGTTTGAAATTCAGGGAGAACGCTTGAATTTCGTAAGCTTCAAGTCAAAACAAAAGGGGGCCAAAACGCTTGAAACTCTATTCAGGAAGTCAAACATCTTGTGAAAATGACAAAAGATAATAAATCCGTGGAAACGGCTTTTCTACACAAAAAATGATGAAAAAAAGGTCGAAAAATTTATCATCTTCAAAAAAATTTGAAACTTAACAAGGAAAAAAAAAACAATCAGCTATAAAAATCTACAAAAATCAATTATTTCAGTTCATGAGCCGCTTTTTTCCGCGCTTCGGTGCCTCGTCGGATGGCTTCTTTGAACAGCCTGGAAAGTTGAATATTTCAACTTTTTGTGGCGAAAAATGAATAAACCTGAGCAAATATTCAACAGATTGGGGGGTATCGTCGTTGGCGGGGATCAGGTAGGAAAGGTAGGCCGGATCCGAGTTGGAATCCACGACGCCGACCGTCGGAATGGCCATTTTTGCAGCTTCTTCAAGAGATTTTCAATTGGCAAATTTTTCACACAGGCAAAATCCAAACGACCTCACAAAGGGCTTGAAAAAGAGTCTGGAGCTTCTTTTTTGAGTTCCTAAAAAGGTGTCCAAAGTTTCTCGGAATCTTCATTCTTCTACCTTTTTTTCCGCCACACCTTTTTTTCTCCTTAAAAGGTCTTTTTCAAAAAAAGTGTTGAAAAGAAAGTGCTTTTGAGGCCTTTTTTTCAAAAGTTCATTTTGAGACGTTTTGGCCTTTCCCTTGTACAAGTTTTATATTATAATCTTATCGAAAATCACTCTATTTTCTTTTTCTCAAAACTTCTTCACAGTTTTTAGATTTTTCGGTACTGCATTTTCTCCTTTTTCACGAAACTATATTCCAAGCTTCCAAAAATCCAATAAAAGCTTCAAATTCGAACTAAGAACCGCTAGATTCAAAAAAAAAAAACCGTCAGGAATTCAAAATCGTAATCTATGTACCTTCAAGGCTCTCCAAAGTAGTTCTAACGTCGACAAAAAAGTATAAAATGAATAAAAATTCTAGAAAACTCAAAATTTTCATCATAACTCTCACTAAATCTTGGACAAGTTCCAAAAAATCTGAAAAAAAAGATTAATCAATCCTAAAATTGAAAAAAAACCGGACAGCGTGAAAACTTTCATTTCCCAATCGAACTGAATCGATCAAGATATCGACTTTCTACAATAAAATTCAATTCAGGATCTATCCCACTCCAAAACGAACCAATAATGGCCGGATGACTATCACCAACTGAAGTCAAGGTCGACAAGAAAACAATGGCGTCAGGGAGACGAACAGAAGCCCCGAGAAGCTGTCTGGAAAGGGAAAAATTGCCGAATTCAATACAAATTTTGAGCAAACTTTGTGTTGGTCAAAGTGCCAGCCTGCCATTTTCGGACATGTGAGTATTGTCCAGCCTGAAAAAATCTGAAGTAGTGAGATATTTTCAATTCAACAAAGGTGGTCTTTTTACTTTGTTTTTGGGAATTTCTTGAAAATGAACCATCATGCTCCTGGATCTATCAAAAGTAGATTCTGAAAGTCTCAAACTGTCCAGCTTCCTAGTTCTCGAGCTCAGGTAAAAGCTGGGAAGCTTCTGCTTTCGGTTCCTGGGAAGGCGTTTGGAAGCTTTCCAGCAAGTGGTCGAACGCCATAGCTTTCTAACATCTTCTAATTAGAAAAAAAGCACGCCGGTAGCCTTCCAGAAGCTTCTCAGCAGGCTTGTGGCAGGCATTTTCCACTTTCACCTTCCAAATACCTTCCGAAAGTTGTCATAAGACCTTCTAGCTTCCATACACCTTCCAACCTCCTGCTGGTTACCTTCCCAACACCTACCCAGAATTTACATGAGAGAAAGGACACCTCAAAGCCAAAGAGAACCCTCAAGATCCGTTAAAAAAGGCCATTTCGAGCCCTTCTTTTTCGAAAAGTAGGAAGCTGTACAACTTGAAAATTTCAGGATTACTTTAATAATATTATTTATTTACAGTCAGAACAAAATAACATGTACAAAAAGAAGGGAAAAAAATTGGCATTTGAGCCTGAAATAAATAAATAAAAGGCACTTGAGGCCCTCAATTTTCTGGTCCATCAAAGAGTTTTCTGCCCATTTTCCAAGAAATCCTCAATCCCAAAGTAGATGACCTCCCTTTCAAGGAGTATAACTAAAAATAACCCAATTCTGACATGGAAAACCCGGGTAAAAATCTACACGTTCTTTTTCCGAACTCCTAAAAGGTTCTTATGGTACCAGTCAATTCAAACTTTGCAAGTCAAGTTTTCTCTACTTTGATAAGTGACTCATACAGAGCACTTTAACCTGGTAAACTCCTTTTTTCGGAGAAATTTTAAGAATTCTCAAGTAACTTCGAAAAAGGAAATGGTTTTTCTGTTTCTTTCCAAAATGAAGTCAAAAAAAGGCTCAAAATTGCTTCCGAGTGAGCATAACCTTCTACTATTTTCCACTACAAGGCAAATAATCTTCCCACGAGGTCCAAAATAAATAAATTGATTAAGTAAATAAATACTTTGTGTTGGTAGGGGAAGAACAAGGCTGCTTTTTCCATTATTTAGGAAAGGGAAAAAGAAAACTGGGTAAAAGTATAAAAAAATAGTCATAAATCCAAATTTGAACTTAAATTTTACTCAAAAACTTCCTACTTGAAGCTTCATTTATTGAAAAACTCAAACTACAAAAAACCGAGATTGTGATTTTAGGCTTCAAAGATCTTCAAAACTACTAAAATGAACCGAAAGCTGTCTTGAGAACTGTAAAAATTTGAAAAACCGAATTTTCGTTTCGAAAAAGGCATGATCCTCACGAAATGATCAGAAAAGGTTGACTTTCGTTTTTCAAAAGTATATTTTTCAATTGTCTTGTTTTTAGCTCTATTTTTCATCCCCACTGAAAAAGCGTCGGCTTCTTGAATTTCAAGACCTCAAAACACAGGGAAAATCTTGAGTTTGCATAACCTTTGGCTATTTTCCAGTGAAAGGTCTAACGTTTGCCCAGCACCTTTTATTGTAAATCATTTAAACTTTCCGTTCCGAAATAATTTCAAATGGGCTAGTCAATAAAATTACCGTTTTTTCGGCTTCCTAAACCTCAAATCTGTCCCCGAATCTGTAAATTTTCTCTATTTCGGATCATTTCGACTCAATTTCAGAACTAAGACTTCTATAAACCTCTCATAAATCCTTTATGACGCGAAGAAGATTTGCATGACCTAAACTGACCTGCTCGCCTCAAGACCCTTATAAAACAGTTCATGCTTCTTTAAACATTCCAGCAATATTTTTTATTCTTGTAAAAGGCTTAAAAAAGGAAATCCCTCTTTTTTTTCAAAAAGAAAAAGGAAACACTCTGTCAAGAGTTGAGAAGTACAGGTGAAGCTTTTGATAAATTATTTTAGAAAAAATGAAATAAGCAAAGTATCAATTTATTTCAACAGTAATCTGGCTCGACTCCAAGTATCAACGACCGAGAAAAAATCTAAAAATACTCGCAAATTTTTGGCAGTTGCTCCCCAGACACGTGCTTGTCTCTCAGTTAACCTAGCCAGAAGCCAAAGTTTTCCGTCTGCTTTTGTTAGCCCGTAAGGTTAGTTGGAAACTTTGCTCGGCGACGGCGGCAAAGGTTTCGTTAAACTGTTTGTGGCGAGCTTTTGCCGTTTTGCGGTATGTGTGCGTTTGGCGTGTGCACCGGGCGAAGGGAAGAAAGTTACGCCCAGTCGACTTAACAAGTATAAAAGTCGGGTCACACACCACGCAATTCAACAACACCAAGCATTCGCGTGTGCTTTGGACGTGTTCTTTTTTGCGGATAATAAAATCGAAGCAAATGGCTCTGACATCGTCCTATTCGGCCAATATGTTCATGCCTGACTTCGGCGTCAAGCCCGACGATATTCGCTACTTCAGTATCGATTCGCGGATTCAGGGCCGTGGCCCGAACCGTCTCAAGTACCTGGACCTCGAAGGCCGTTGGGTTCTGAGCGGCCGCAGTATTCCTTACATTTCGGCTGCGTTCCAGCATCTGGAGCACTTGAACAATGCTCAAGTTCCACTCAGAGTCAGTTCTTTTTTTTTACGATAAATGGTGTCTGATTCCCTTCTGACTATTTGAAGAGTACGTTAAGGTAAACAGTGTGCGTAAAAATAGAGGTTTACAGTCCTAAGTCAGCATTGTATGGACTAAAAACATGTAAGAACTTTGGTTATGTGTAGGGACGCTCCTTTTTGGAATGTTCTCAATCAGAACATTTTCGAACCTTATAAAGATTGAAATCGCTTGTGAGCCAGCTTCTCTCAAATTTTAAAATTTGGAGGCTCGTTTCCCTAATGCAACAAACCAGCTTTTGAGCCCTTCCAAAGTCTCAGAAATTGGAAAGATCCTTAATTTTGTTCGTTTTTTCTACTCAAATTGTCCACTGAGCACACACCTCCAAAATCTTTAGGCCGCAATATTCTGAGCCCTTTCTATTTTCCTACAAACTCCTCGATACCAAAAAGGTAAATTCTTCTGCAGGACATCACCCAAGAGCCAATCAACGCCATCGGAATGGTCGGCTGGACAAAATCCTCAACAGATGCCGTGCCGACCGAGAGAAAGCCAAAGTTCATTCCATCACCGACGACGCCAGTCTACATCGAAGAAGAGGAGGTGCCGCCAAGCCCGCGAGAGCCGATGCCTCACCGATCGGCTGGATACGGTAAGATCTTCCTCCCATTGAAATCAACTACTTTCCAAGGGGTTCTTCCTTCTATCTAGACCCCGAAAAATCGCTTTTTTCCAGGACCTGCGCACCAGAAGAGGAAACTGTCGGTGCCGGACAGGTCGAGAAGTGCCTCGCCACTTCGTGCCGAATCACCACAGCCCGTCTTCGACAAATACGCCAAATATGAGCGACACCGCAAAGGTCAGGAGCCATTTTCAGCTGAGTCAGCCATTCAACTCATCGACTGGCAGGGCCAGCTTTGGGCTCTTGTCGAAGAGAAAGTCACTGTCATACGTATCATAGAAGATAGTTACTATTTGGAACAGTTATGAGGATAAAACTTTTTGAAAACCCTGAGTTTTTTTTTTCTACATGAAAAGGTACTATCTCAGGACATCTCGCAGACAAAAACCAATAAAAACTTTTTTTTTAAAGACCTTTCACTATCATAAAACCGAAAATGAGATCTTCCTACTCGCTAGTTCAACACATGAAAAATCACCCTTTGTTTTCCAAGCTTCTCCAAAGAAAACAAGCTGAGCAAGCTACAGATTCCATAACGCGATATGGAACCAAGTGGGGACCTGCCACCGGTGACCTCGGCTACTCGTCGAGCGGAAACTCGCCGGTGAGCAACGACGGCGGCGAAACGTTGCCCCATCGCACTCCATCGTTGTCGCCTCGTCCGGCCTCCCGAACTCGTTACTACGACAATGACTACGATTCAACGCTCATTCATAAAGGTGATTGGAGAGATTCTAGCTCTTTTTTTCAGAGAAGACATGCTCAATTTCATAGAAATCTGCAAGACAGCCGTAAAAATCTTTAAAAATCAGTCGTTTTCGCAGTAGAGCACACAAGCCATTTGGCTATTTTTGAGCGTTGTTCCTTCTTCTCAGATAACGTGAACCGTTTCTGCGCAATTCTAGGGATCACTTAAGAGTGCTAAAGCGGTCACTAGAAACTTCCGGATCACGTCTGTTTCGCGTTACGAATGTCCGAGTTGAATCTAATTTCGCACTAAAGCACACTTTCTCAAATAGTGATACTTTCAAGAACAGACACCCTTTCCTCACTCTAAAAACGCCGAACTTTCAGCTGACTCGAACCGAAACCTCAAAGTATTGACGAAGGACACCAATGGGGACGTTCCGCCCTACCGTACCACCGGCTACGGTGCCTACCACGTCAAGCGACAGTACGAACTGAGCCCGCGATCGTTGGGCAGCGACTACGCGACAAGCGAGTCGGAGCAGTCGTCGCCAGTTCCCTACCGCAAACAAACTACCGAAACCTATGTTCGTCGTCACCTCCGCACCAACAGCTAGACGTTCTTCACGCGTGCGCTCAACAGCTTCTTTTTTTTTGCAATTTGAATAAACGATTATGTACAGTCAATGTTCGCAGAGAGGCTTACAAATGATAAATTTGAAAATGAAGGTACCCCTAGTTCAAAATTATGACCTTTTCAAGGGATAACATAAGAAAAGGCTCTAATAAACTAACAGCTTAAGCAAATGGAATATTTTCACAGAAAGTGATAAATTTGAAAATAAAGGTACACCTAGTGTTCGTAGTTCAAAAGTATGACCTCTTCAGGTGTTTAAAAACGAAAAAGGCTGGAATCAAGAGAAAACTTAAGCGAACGGGATAGTTTCAGAAAAACCTAGTTTTTACAGTTTAAAAAAAGCACAGAATCACTACCAAAGCAAATAAAATTCTTAAGTATCAGTTTCTGAAAAAATGACACAAAAAAAAGAAAAAAAAGTCAAATTTCCCTAACTTACAAGTTCGGACCGGCAAAGGTTTAACTAAAAGTTACTATTGACCCTCTACAAATTAAAAAGACCCAGGAATTCAAGAATCCTAGAGCAATATTCCCTAAAAGAACTAAGTCAAAATAGCTCAAAATGAGCTTTAAATTATATTTTTCCCGTTCCAAAATGAACTTCATAATCGGCTCAGGATCGCTAGGTTCCACAAATGCAACAGATTGCATCAATCTGAGCAAATTTCGGATCAAAGTATCTTGTCATCACGGCCGAGAGTCGAACCCGGGTATCTCCTGGCCAGACCAAGTCGTTTAGCCACTCGGCCAATCGTGCAACTCACCTCCTCCGCCGCTTTTTCCACGTCGAACATCGTGTCGCGATTTGTCGTCACGAAGAGGATCATTCCGCCGCGCATCGCGACGTGAGCCACAAAGTTGAGGGCTCTGAATGAGGACGGCGGTAATAATTAGCTGTGAAAAAATTTTTTACTAGTCTTTCAACTTTATCGGAAATTTGAACTTTTTCTGGAGCCTCAAACTTCTAAAAATATATTTATACGTGGATAATCCAACATTTCAGAATCATCAAACTTTCGTCTCTCTCCTCGATTTTGCCAACTCTTTCCAAAAATTTTTTTATTATTTTTTTACTCACTTTAAGCTCATGAAACTTAGGAACGCTGGAGTGCTCCCTATAGGGATTGCGGAGGGAATAAGCCCCAAGAGAGATTTTTTTCAATTTCATCGGATTTGATCAATTTTCTGTAGCCTTAACACGCTGTCTCCGTTATTCTAAAAAATTTCTAAAAGCAACGGGTACAATAAAAAATATTTTTTTGATTTTCGACAAAACTTCATCCAGTGTGATAACCCATCATCAGAAATGCGGACCCAACTTTTTTTGAGCCATTTCCTCTTACTGTAGCCGGGTTACGGTAGGCAGGTGGGCACCTGCGTATCTCAGTATTTATGAGTTTTTTTATTAGGCAAGTGATATATCAATCGATAGGTAATTCAATTTTAGGAACTTTTACAGTACATACCATCATGGGTTACGATGAGAAAATTTTGAGTTACGGTACTTTTTGTGTCCGCCGAGTCAGTTTTTCGACCACCATGAGCTTGAGCCGGGAGATCCATTCTTCCTAACTTCTCAAAAGATACCTTATGAGAAGCTGTACAAGCTGTTACTAGTTTGAAGAAATCCTAGGTGGACCATCATTTCGAAAAATCGCCTCGAAGGCGCGCAATCGTGGTCTTGCGGCGGCCAAGTGGGTGAAGTCCATGATGCCTGACGGCTCATTCTTCAGAGATCCATTCCAATCTTTTGTTTCCATTTCACTAATAGACATCTATTATTGATTTTTTTATTTCAATTTGAGATGTTTTTCGGGTTGACCATCATCTCGAAATTTCATTTTGAACCCAAATTTGGCCTAAAATGGCCGACTCGGCCTTTTCACGGGATCCCTGACCCCGTATGTGACCGTTCTCAACTTTTTTTCTTTCTTAAACATGAACAAGAGTGTCTGAACAACAGTTTTTATAACAATCGGAACCCCTTTTGAGAGGACCATCATCTCGAAATTTCATTTTGAACCCAAATTTGGCCTAAAATGGCCGACTCGGCCTTTTTCACGGGATCCCTGACCCCGTATGTGACCGTTCTCAACTTTTTTCTTTCTTAAACATGAACAAGAGTGTCTGAACAACAGTTTTATAACAATCGGAAACCATTTTGAGAGGACCATCATCTCGAAATTTCATTTTGAACCCAAATTTGGCCTAAAATGGCCGACTCGGCTTTTTTCACGGGATCCCTGACCCCGTATGTGACCGTTCTCAACTTTTTTCTTTCTTAAACATGAACAAGAGTGTCTGAACAACAGTTTTATAACAATCGGAAACCCATTTTTGAGAGGACCATCATCTCGAAATTTCATTTTGAACCCAAATTTGGCCTAAAATGGCCGACTCGGCTTTTTCACAGGGATCCCTGACCCCGTATGTGACCGTTCTCAACTTTTTCTTTCTTAAACATGAACAAGAGTGTCTGAACAACAGTTTTTATAACAATCGGAACCCCCTTTTTGAGAGGACCATCATCTCGAAATTTCAGTTTTGAACTCCAAATTTGGCCTAAAATGGCCGACACTCTTGTTCATGTTTAAGAAAGAAAAAAAGTTGAGAACGGTCTACATCTGAGTCAGAGATCCCGTAAAAAGCCGAATCGACCATCTTTAGGCCAAATTTGGGTTCAAAATGAAATTTCGAGATGATGGTCCTCTCAAAAAGGGTTTCCGATTGTTATAAAACTGTTGTTCAGACACTCTTGTTCATGTTTAAAAAAGAAAAAAGTTGAGAACGGTCACATACGGGGTCAGGGATCCCGTGAAAAAAAGCCGAGTCGGCCCATTTCAGGCCAAATTTGGGTTCAAAATGAAATTTCGAGATGATGGTCCTCTCAAAAGGGTTTCCGATTGTTATAAAACTGTTGTTCAGACACTCTTGTTCATGTTTAAGAAAGAAAAAAGTTGAGAACGGTCACATACGGGGTCAGGGATCCCGTGAAAAAGGCCGAGTCGGCCATTTCAGGCCAAATTTGGGTTCAAAATGAAATTTCGAGATGATGGTCCTCTCAAAAGGGTTTCCGATTGTTATAAAACTGTTGTTCAGACACTCTTGTTCATGTTTAAGAAAGAAAAAAGTTGAGAACGGTCACATACGGGGTCAGGGATCCCGTGAAAAAAGCCGAGTCGGCCCATTTTTCAGGCCAAATTTGGGTTCAAAATGAAATTTCGAGATGATGGTCCTCTCAAAAGGGTTTCCGATTGTTATTAAACTGTTGTTCAGACACTCTTGTTCATGTTTAAGAAAGAAAAAAGTTGAGAACGGTCACATACGGGGTCAGGGATCCCGTGAAAAAGCCGAGTCGGCCATTTTTCAGGCCAAATTTGGGTTCAAAATGAAATTTCGAGATGATGGTCCTCTCAAAAAGGGGTTTCCGATTGTTATAAAACTGTTGTTCAGACACTCTTGTTCATGTTTAAGAAAAGAAAAAAAGTTGAGAACGGTCACATACGGGGTCAGGGATCCCGTGAAAAAGGCCGAGTCGGCCATTTTAGGCCAAATTTGGGTTCAAAATGAAATTTCGAGATGATGGTCAACCCGAAAACATCTCAAATTGAAATAAAAATCAATAATAGATGTCTATTAGTGAAATGGAAACAAAGATTGGAATGGATCTCTGAAGAATGAGCCGTCAGGCATCATGGACTTCACCCACTTGGCCGCCGCAAGACCACGATTGCGCGCCTTCGAGGCGATTTTTCGAAATGATGGTCCACCTAGGATTTCTTCAAACTAGTAACAGCTTGTACAGCTTCTCATAAGGTATCTTTTGAGAAGTTAGGAAGAAATGGATCTCCCGGCTCAAGCTCATGGTGGTCGAAAAAAAACTGACTCGGCGGACACAAAAAAAGTACCGTAACTCAAAAATTTTTCTCATCGTAACCCATGATGGTATGTACTGTAAAAAGTTCCTAAAATTGAATTACCTATCGATTGATATATCACTTGCCTAATAAAAAAACTCATAAATACTGAGATACGCAGGTGCCCACCTGCCTACCGTAACCCGGCTACAGTAAGAGGAAATGGCTCAAAAAGTTGGGTCCGCATTTCTGATGATGGGTTATCACACTGGATGAAGTTTTGTCGAAATCAAAAAATATTTTTTCTATTGTACCCGTTGTTTTTGAGAATAACGGAGACAGCGTGTTAAACTTCAAAAAAATAATATTTAAACGTGGATAATCCAACATTTCGAATCACCCAAACTTTCGTATCTTTCAAAAAATTCAATCATATTCCTTAAAATTTGAAATATAGCGACCTTGTCATAGATTTTTTTCAAAAACTAATTATTCTTTTCAAGTTTGACGGAATCCAGAAAAGCAATTTCAAGCTTAAAAGTGAAAATTTTTCCTCGATTTTTGTCCAGTTTTTTCAATATTATTATTTTTTCACTCACTTTAAGCTCGCGCAACAGAACGCTGAAGTGGTCCCTATAGGGATTTTTGGAGAAATAGGGATTTTTGTAGAAAAAGCCCCTAAAAGGGGACAAAAAGTGGGCCCTATATGGGCAAAATGTAGATGGTGTATGTGGTTCCTACAAGGCCATTGAACTTTTAGTTCTTATTTGAAAACTTTAAAAAAAACCTGATCGATTCATCTTCTGTTAATATTTTTCACTCAAACTTTTGCAAGCTTTAGTGGCCCCTATAGGGGTAGTTAAGCGCTCCCTAGAGTGGGAGCTTCAAGGGCCCCTATAGGGAACTCTCTGCTGGAGTTTCTAAGAAGGCTCCAGTCACTTAAAAACCAATATTCCACCTCAATATTCAGAATTTACCTGATCAAAAAGTCCTAGTGATATCGAGGTCAAAAATACAGACGTTGAGTCGCTGGCCATAGAGCGCCCATTTCATGTTCTCGTTCAGTGTTCCGACCTTCAAAAATTCCATCATTTCATTTCAGAAAGCTTAATAAAGAACGAAAAAAATCGAGAAAGGCCAAAATTTGATTGAAAATTAATTCAAGAATCTCTACTTTTATTTAAAATCAAAAATATGACCCATTTTTCAAGTGATCTAAGAAAATAGGATGCTTTGAAAAGAGCTAAAATCTTTTAAGCAATCACTTGAGAAACTCGCGAAATTTGGATTCCTTTGCAATCTAATTTTCACGATTTCAATATAAAATGATAATGGGAAGATGCAAAAATCTTTGAAAAATGGGAAAATATTTCAAATGCTCAAAAAAATGATATAGTACATCGCAATTAAACTATTTTTTTCGAAAGAAAAAAACAAAAAAATCTGTCGTCGATAAAAAAATTTAACAGTGAAAATGACAGGGTTTTTCAATATTTTTTTATATTTTTGAATTTTGACTAAAATCAGAGGCTACTAAAATAAACGTTTCTAAGGACATTGGAAAAAAATAAAAAAACCTATTTTTCACTATATTTGATCAAGTTTCAATAAGGAAAGAGGATTTTTTTCGAGGTTTTCTAATAAGAAACTTGATACCCTTTGTATCGTTTTAAAGATGAAAAACAGGTAGTTAAAAATATATAGAACAGAAATCACTATGAACTTTTTTTAAAAAAATCGAGCTCAAAGTTCAACAAAAACGTCTTTTAATAGCGTCTTCAAATCTCAGAATTTCAATCACCTTATGCCCATAATGTAGCCGAGCCTTGAACATGTCCTCAACGTTGACAAGTTTCTCCAGATGGAAATAATCTTCGTTCTGGAGGACGCCCGAGACGAAAGGCATCAGAACTTTGGGCTGAACCGCCGCTTTTTCCAGAATCTTCACGTCGGGAATCGACGTCGAGGCAGAAGACGTTGCTGTGGAGGAAGATGGCTCTTTCTGCGAAAAAAAACATTTAGTGCCGTGTTCAAAGTGATTCCGCGAAATTCAAAATAGCCGTCAGAGAAAGAGAAAGATAACTAAATTTTGGAGGGTCAGAGACCATTTTGCATTTCGCGGAAATTACTTTTGAACACGGCATAGAAAAATCGAGCCATTTTAGAACATAAAAACCAATAGTTTCGAACAAAAATCTTTCGAAAAACCATTTTGACAAAGATTGAAAACAATACATTGATTTCGTATAAGAAGGGAGAATTTTAAAATCTCATTGAAACGTATGTTTCCCTCCCAAAAATTTCAAGCATTTTAAAACTGTTTTACAAAAGAAAACGTGTACAAAAACGTTGAAATCCATCAAAAAGGTTCAAAAACCAATGATTTCAACAATTAAACATCCTAAGAGTTTGATCGCATATTTCAAAACTCTTTAAAACGTATGTCTCCCTGGGAAAAAGATTTTAGTCATTCTGAGGTTGTTGAATACATTTAGAAACTTAAGAATACATTTCCTCACCTTCAAAAATTCGAAAATATAGCCAGGATGCTTGAACATACTTGAAAAAAAGGTCTCGGTATCAGAAAAAAAGAATTTTTTTGAATAAAAAAATCCTTTTGAACTATTTCGCCAGAAACTATATCGGTTTTTTTCTTCTTTAAATTCATCAAAAAAATCCATAAAGGAACATTGAAAAAAATGAACCAATAACCTGCAAAATTGTCGAGGAAGCCGCAAAAAAACACGGCCCGACGTGTTCAAACTCCGTTCAGAGGTTCTTAAAAAGCTGAACGGCTCTCCGCATCTGAAATTATAATGAAGATAACTATTGAATAAAAAAACTGAAACAACGAAAAATTTGAACAAACAGATTAAAAAAACTCCCAATGAAGTGAAATTTGGGAACCAGATCAAGTATATTTTTCAAAAACGAACTAAATATTGAAAATAATTTTTTTCCACATCGCGGAATCCAGCTTAAAGTCACAAGAACATTGAAAAAAATTCAAAAAAAGCAAAGTTATTAAAAAAATTGAAAGTTCCCGTAGAAAATTTCTTAAATTTTGGAGCGACTTACCTACAACTTTTAAAAATGATACATTTTCAAAAACTAAAAAAAATATTTTTAGCGTCAATCAACGCCTCGAAACTCCAATGAAAAACCCCAGAAAATGGTATAAAAATCAAACACGATTCATTCGAAACGTCAACAATGACCGATAAAAAAGGAAAAACTCAACAAAGCACTGGGCAATGGGATATGAGATAACCGGGAACCGAAGTAGTATTAATGGCTTTCTTTTTCTTCGACAAAAACTCACACAAGAAGTAAACCCTAAAAAAACGCACTCGGTTTCAAATTCAAAATACACATAACATCATACCGGTGACCATATATATAAATAGGAAACTAGAATAAAAATAATCAGAAATAACAATATCATAACTGGGAAGTCGATCCTTCGGTTAGAAAGTCATGAAAGTCGCTTAGTGAGACGGAAATAAAATAAAATTTTAGAGATCGTAGTAACAAAATTTTTGGAGAGAACCATGTTAAAAAAAATTATTTCAAAACAAACAAAAAGCAAAAGCTAAACATTTCTTCTAACCCATTGAAAAGAAAAATGAGCAAAAAATATCGAGCGGTAAAATTAAAATTAACTAACAAGGAAAATAATCAATCAAATTGATACGAATAGAGAATTATGAGGATCACAAAATGATCGATTCGCCTTAAGGAAAAAAAGGAGAAAATTTTTCCTTCGAAAAGATTGGTAAATTGATAATCCCTTTCCAAATCATTACAAGAATCATTTAGAGTAAATTTTGAGCTGTGGATAAGTCGGGCAATCGTCGTTGAAAATCCATCCGATTTTTCGCTCCCACATTTTATCTTGCAAGAGAAGCCGCGCCGCAACCAGGTTCAATTTGGCAACTTTCAGGAACGGCCTGAAAAGGAGAAAATTTATTTTTCTTTCAAATTTATTCTCAGAAATTCGATCACTACCGTCAGAAATTTATATGCCGTATTCAAAGTAATTTCGCGAAATGCAAAATGATCTATGACTCTCCAAAAATTTAGTTATATTTTTCATTTCTCTGACGGCTATTTTGCATTTCGCGAAATTACTTTGAACACGGCAATAGTAAAGGCATCTTATTCCGCGCAATAAATAGATATTTCAAACAGACGTCAAAATGAGGTTAACAGAACGTGATTTTTATCGATCATTTGAAACTAAAACACCAAAACATAAATAATTTTTTTCATTAATGAAAAAAAGTTTCTGAAATGAAAATTTACTTTCTGCTGACTTAAAAACCAAAAATAGTTCAAAAAAAGAATAAGAAAGCAAGTCAAAAGAAAAATTAAAATTCGAAAAATGCGTAAATCTACAGAGCCAAGAGAAAAACTCGCCCCCAACGCGAGATCGTCAAGTGGAGTGTCGTTTTGTCATCATTTCTTTTTCGTTTTTTTTTTCGATGTTTTCCATATTTTTTTCTTCATTTATCATTCAAATCAATTCTTTATCAATGCTTCCCATCACAAAATCCATTTTTCAGGTTATTTTGGAGCATTCAATGCTTGATTTTCAAGAGAATTATAATATTTCCAGTCAAATTTTCACAGGAATAACGAGTTTTCTACACAAAAACTCACGCGCTCTCCACTTTCAGTGTCGATTTCTCATGAACCCGCTCGAGATTTTTCCTCGCCGTGTCGAAAACCTCGATCGCCATTTGCATCGTCTTCTTATGGTCTTGGTAGAGGAGTTCATCGATTCTAAACGTTGAAGAATGGAAGTAGGATTTTCCGGGATCATTTCAAACTTGGAAACATCTTTGAATTGTTGGTAGCTGACGGAAAGCGGGGGTCCCAGGGGCGTAAAGGCGGCGATTCGGTTTTCAAATCGCAGTTGTTCCGTTTCTTTGAACCACATGGGAACCTAGATGATTTCTTTTTTTAATTGGAAAATTTCAGAAAGCATTTCGAGTTTTCTACTGTCGATATTTGTAAATTTAGAACTTGAACTGGGTTTTTTTCTGACTAGAGTCTACTCTAAACTTTTTCGCTTCAGGACCCAAATAAGGATTCCGGCTTGAACCTTCAAGAGTCCAGAAAGCAATTTTGACTATTTAAACTCGAAATTCACCTTTATTTTGTCCATTTTCACCAGCGCCACCGTCGTTTTCACGATGCCATCTGCCAAACTGGACAAACCGTAATGCAGGATTATTTGGGTTTGGTTCAAATTCAACCTGAGAGAATAAAATTAACTAGATTCCAATGAGAAACAAACTTTCTCATCAGCATTTCTTCGGCCTTTTTCCGGTCGAGTCGCTTTCTGTGGCTGTTGTTCATAGCCAGAGGATCTGAAGATTATCGGAAATTGAATAATCCTGACAGGCAGAACAAAAATGAAGGGAAGGGCTTGAAAAAGGAGAGAATATTCATGGCCAGTGGGGCTGAAGATTATTAAAATTGAATAATTCAATGGAAAAATGGATGGGAAAGTGAAATTTCTTAGAAAAATGGCTTGAAAAGGAAAAAAAAATATTCGTGACCAGAGAATCTGAAGCATACATGGGATGAGCATGACAGGCGACAGACAAGTCCCCCCTTCTTAGCCAAATGCCAAGCCTCCCCCTCGGAACCTAATGCCAAACCCCCGAAAAAAAATTTTTTTGTTGATTTTTTTGAATTACAGGTTGACGCCGGAAGATGTGAAAAATTCTTTTTATCCGATAATTATTAACTAGGAAAAAAATTGCTTCTGAAAATAATTTTTTTACGGTTTTTGCTAACACCCCCCATTTACTCGTTTTTGTCAAGTCTCTCCTTCCCACTGAAACTATCCCTGTCTATGATCTGAAGGCCGTCAAAATTGAATAACCCCTAGGTAAAGTGAAAAATAAACTACACTGCTCCACATAATTATATATCCACCTGAGATTTTTCGAAAAATCGAATATTTTGAGAGTTTCTGAAAATCTTTTTGTTGTCAAAAGATGGGAATTTTGATCAGATCAATATAGCTATCAACAAAGTTCCTATTGAAAAATAAATGCTCTTAAAAATTTTAATTTTTCAAAAAAACCGAGTTTTCCGTTCCACATAATTATATATCCACCTAAGACTTTAAACTTTTTGAACCATTTTTTCCGGTTTTTTGTATCAGTTATCATTTTCTCATCATTTTTGTTTAAAAATAAGAAGAATAAGAGCAAAAAGGTTTTCCAAGAAGTTGAGGAACCTCGGATTTAATCAGAAAACGGTCGCGATGCTCTTCATTACATCAGCTACTCTTGAATCGATTATGATGTGAATATTTTGATTTCACAAGTACCTTTTGTACTTGTGAGCAACAATTTAAGTTCAAAAAAACTTAAAAATATTTTTTTGCATTGAAAAGAGGGAGTTTTTCCAATAACATTTATAATTTTTTTGCGGTTTTTGCCAAAAATAGAAAGCTTAAAAATGTCTTCGGACCATTTCTGTAAACTTTTTCTGAGATAAAAATCGTTTTTTTACTTCAAGAATAGTTGGTCTCATCAAAAAAACCTGCTTCTAGAAAAAGAAGAATGAGCGAAATCGGTAAATAACTAAGGAAATTTCAAGTCAAATTAATAGGAATCTGAATTTTTCTTCGAATTTTTAAATTACTGTTTTTCTTCTCAAGATTAAAGATTACAGTTACATTTTTTTGTTTTTAAAAACATTGAATAAGCCATGATTATCCTTATTCAGCGAAGAAAATTAAACAGAAAGTCAACAAAATCGAAATCACGAAATATCCTTTTTTGACTCTTGTTTCTCTGAAGTTTTTTCAGCTTTGAGATTTGTTTTGTCAGATTTTCCTAAGTTAAACTATTACTGATTTCCTCCTCAGCCTTGTTGCATTGTAGATGAAGAATTTCTCCGCTCAATGACTGAGAAAAGCGAGTTCAAGTTGAAAAAACTGATAACTTTCTCAAAGGCGCTCGCGGTTTTTGAAATTTTTTTTCAAAATTTGACGCCCATTCAAGAATATTTTTTGTGATAAACTTTTTCGAAACTTCTGAGTTTACCCTGATTATGAAAATTCAACCCTCACATCGATGACTGTTGAGCTGGAGTACAAAACAGCACCGCGACCGTTTTCTGATCAAATCCAAGGTTCCTCAACTTCTTGGAAAACCTTTCTGCTCTTATTCTTTTTTTATTTTTTTAAACAAAAATGATGAGAAAATGATAACTGATACAAAAAAACCGGAAAAAAATGGTTCAAAAAAAGTTTTAAAGTCTTAGGTGGATATATAATTATGTGGAACGGAAAAATTCGGTTTTTTGAAAAAAATTAAAATTTTTTTAAAAACATTTATTTTTTTCAATAGGAACTTTGTTGATAGCTATATTGATCTGATCAAAATTCCCATCTTTTTGACAACAAAAAAAGATTTTTCAGAAACTCTCAAAATATTCGATTTTTTTCGAAAAAAATCTCAGGTGGATATATAATTATGTGGAGCAGTGTAGAACTCTGAGAAAAGCGCCTCAAAAAAAGGATGAATTTGTTCAAAAAAATTATCAGAATTCGTTTTTTTTTCTACAGTAGAGATTCAAGTTCAACTTCAAAAATTCGAATCTTCAAAAAATAAAGAAAAAAACTCACGTAATCCCCATCCCTGAAGCATCATTTCCTGCGATCGTTCCATTGTCGTGATTTGCCATCGCGTAAGAACATCTCCATAATACCTAGAAAGGAAATATCAAGTTTTTTCTCAGCCAACTTCAAAAAAAACGCTCAAAAATAAGTGAAAACGCAGTTTTTCCAACGGAAAGACAAAAAAATCTGATAGAACCCACCAGTAAATGTAGCAAAACTCGTAGGGAACGAAGAGATCGAGACGGAAAGACAATTCGAAGTGATACGTGATGAGGGCCAGCAAATTGTTGAAGACGAAAGTGGCCATCGAGGGGTGCGGGATCAGTTCTGGAGGAAGGAAAAAAACTCTAAAAAAAGAAGAATTCTAGTGCAAAAAGATCAATAATATTGTATGGTCACTGTCATTTGACGTCATAAAATGAAGCTTCCCAATTTTAAACAATTAAATCGAGTTTTTAACTTCACCCAAGCTCGGGCAATAGTCGGAAAGGGTGGATAATGGTCGCTAAAAGGGAGAGGCTCAAAGAAAGGCCGCAAAAAGGCAGCAAAAAGGCTCAAAAAAGGCCGCAGAAAGACAGTAAAAAGAGTTCCTTCACCGAACCTTCCATTTTTCCTGGGATTTTGAAGGCTCAATAAATTGTGGAGAAAGGAAAAGGCTGCAAAAATGGTACAAAATAGCCGATGAAATGGCGCAAAAAGGCTAAAAGGAACATTCATATGGAATTTTTTTTCGACTCTTTCCGACTTTTCTTTTGAGCTCTAAACTAAATCTTTAGAAAGAAAATATAAAAAGGCTGTTTCCATGTGATAAAGTTTCATCCGATTCATAGTCTTTTAGAATTTTGAATTTAAAGCACAATGACGTCATTCTAAAAAGCTCTGTGGTTGGCTCGCTTTCTTATTGGTTCAGCGCGCCTTTAGGGGCGGAGCTTGAGATTTAAATCTAACTTCAATCAAAGAAACGTGACATACAGACACATTTCTCGACGAAAAAAGTTCCAACACTTGAAAAAAACTTCAAAAACACCTAGAAAATGCCATATTTCTTTAAATTTCTTCAACTAAACATGAAAATCTCCCCCGAAACTCACTACAATCCTTCGTGCCCCTGACGATTTCATCAGTACGAGCTTCGATTCGGCTGGCCTCCATTTGTAAATTGCCCAAATCTTCGATCAAGGGTACCAAACGCTCCCGTTGTCGGGCCATGTTACAGCCTAGAAATATGAAAAAAATTGGGAGGACAAATAAATTAATAAAAAAAAACCCTGAAGGAGTTGGAAAAACTTTCAACGTAAAGAGAGAAATGTGAACTTTGCTTTACACCTCATATCCCGGATCAAGAATAAGAAGCGTAAAACAGAATAACTCTCTTGAAAATGAAGAAAGTGAACTTGTCAGCGTCGAAAAAATCTCACCAGATCAACAATGAACAAAAAATACATGAAAAAACAAACAAAAATTTCACTTCTTTGAAAAAAATCTGGAAAAAATTGAAAAACTCCTCACCGAAGACCTGATAAACGAGGAGGGCGACTTTGGCGAAGGCGCCCAGGAAAACATTGTACAGATCCTGGCAGACTCGGTCGTCGTAGACGGGATTTCTGCAGTAGATCCTCCATTTATTCACGGAAAAGAGTTGGAAAACCCGACCCTTTGAGTAAAATCAGGGGGGCGTATTTGTCCTTGATAGTCGATTCGATGCAATCGGCAATCGTGATGTTCGGATCGCCAAAGACGTGCTCGTCTTGCGGGAATATCGCCAACTAGAATGGAACCCTTGTGTTTTTGGACCGACAAGGGTTTTAGTGACTTCTTTATGGTTGTAAAAATTCCAAAATATCAATAAATACCATCTCAAGTAGATCTTAAACCTGCTAAAAAATGAAAACTCGTCAAAATTTCTCTACATACCTTAAAGGGACTAAGGAAAAGACGAAAAATGATAGCTCAATCCTTTGAATAATTTTGATCAAGGCTTTTTGAGAATCTAGGATTGTCAAGCCCACAATTCTGAATCTTTTGGTCTCTTAAAAAAAAATTTAGGACAACCACAGCCAAATTTTCAATTTTTAAACTTAAAAAATGACCTTAAAGTCAAGGGCTTTCTTTAATTTGAGATTTGCCTTAAGTTTTTCTTTAAAATTATCTTTTTCTATTACTATCAAGCCCACAATTCTGAATTTTTTTCTCGTATTTTTTTAAAATTTAGAATTATATCTACACACTGACTTTTTAGAAAAAAAAATATACACAAAAAAATCCGAAATTTATCTCACACTTTCCAGTAAAAAAACTTGCTTTTTTTCAGACCTTGCTCCACTAAAAATCTAAAGTCATTCAACTTTTTCTATTCCTTTTTTTAATATTCAATATTTAGCCCCTAATCTCCTCGTGTAAAGTCGGAAAGGGTGGATAATGGCTCAAAACAGGCCGCAGAAAGACAGCAAAAAGTGTCCCTTTATCGAGCCTTCCATTTTTCTGGGATTCTCAAGAAATGGTGGAAAAGGGCAACAAAAATGGTGCATAACAGCTCATAAAATGGCGCAAAAAGGCAGCAAAAAAGGAGCCTTTATCACCCTAAGGGAACCTTTCTATGGGGCCTTTTTCCGGACTCTCCGATTTTGTCTATTTTAACGGAAGCTTCGTATTGCTACGAGAACACTATCTTTCAAGTCTATTACAGTTTGTGTGCCACGACTTGAAATTTCACGGAACGACATTCCGCTGTTCCGCTGCGTGCGTTCGCGAAGCGTTTTTCGAATATAGGTATGGGAGCACATGAAAGTAGAGTGCCTTAATGAAGGAAAAAAAATTTAGAGCGCGACCGAGGTTCGCAAAGGCGCGCAGCGGAATGTCGTTTGGTGAAATTCCAAGTTGTGGTATATTTGGAAAACTTGGTCAGAAAAAAAACCTTATTCTTTCTTTTTCCTTGAATCACCTGCAACAAAGCCCGCGTGAGCACGCAGCTGCCACTGTGGTTGAAATTTCGGGCGAAATAAAACAAGGACGTCAGATCCATCGCACTCTCCGGGCCATCTCTGGCGATCGTCAGGATTCTGACCAAAAAATTATTTTTTCTTCCTTTTTTTCCAGCACCTCTGAGCCAGCTTGACAATGTACCGGAGCGCCTTCCGCCGGTCGGGAATGTCCGTTTTTCTCGGAAAAGTCGACGGCATAAACCGTCGATTCAGTTCCGGCTCTATGGCGACTAGCCAAGAAAAGTCTCCTTAGTTTTGTTTTTGCTCTTTTTTTTCTAGGATTTTCGAACCATCGTCTCCTAAATCTGGGGAAGGAAGGCCGAAACGGGAAGTTTCTACGACCGCGTGGGAAACTGCGACCATTTTCTTGGCCGCATCAAGAGCTCCGGGGAAGTTCGGCCTAAACAAGGAGTATGAGAAACAGAAGGAGGAAAATACGCTCATAGTAGAGCCCGGGAGTAGGGGAGGGGGGCTTTTTTCTCTTATTAAAAAAATTAATATCACATAATTTTTGTAAATAATACATTTTCAAGCACTCACTACCCGATTTGCACATTTCGAGACGACAAAGTTGAAAAGGCGGAAATTTTTGACCGCTTCGCGACCGCGTCGCAACATTGTACATAGAATAGCCGACTTAGCACTGGCTCTAAAGCTGTTGATCTTATTCGCTCCACGGATAAAAAAACCGATAATACTAGACAAAATGAAAAATAGTTTCAGATATTTTCATCCATTATAAAACTACATCATAACCCTTCTCAAAAAAATTATAGGCAGTGTAACTTTTTTCAGAATGGCTTCAAGAACTCGGACTTTGGAAACGCGAAACGGACGTTTCTGGGCGGTTCTAGGGATCACTTAAGAGTGTTGAGGCTACTAAAGTGGCCACTAGAAATGCCCGACATGTCCGGTTCGCGTTACCAAGGTCCGAAAATGTTTGTAGCCGCTTTGAAACATTTCAAACGTGTTATTTGACGACGAAAAAACTCGATCCATCATAAATTTATTAATTATTTCAATAGCTACCTCAAAAAAAACTGAGCCGTTTCGATGAAATCTTATAGTTATAAGCTCAAGTTCTCGTTCAAGAACAGTTTGCAAATTATTCAGCCTTGTTGAAACAGTCGCCTACAAACTTGATCATACTAATTTAGCTGGAGATTAAAAAATTCGCCGGTTCTGGATCGAAAGAAAGACATTTTTACTCTTGTTAAAAAAGCTTGGTTGTATAGGAAAAGCTTTTTTTTTTTGAATTACTGAAACTTCTTTCAAACTACTACTAGTACAAATACTACTACTACTTTCAAAAATGATAAAATCTTCCGATCAACAGGACCTTTTTTTCGACAAAAAGTCCGTTGTAAGAAAAATACATCTACTCATTTTTTTCAACCTTTTTAATTCAAAAAAATCTGTACACAAAAAAACAATTCAGAGCTACAATTTAGAGCAAATTATCAATAGAGCGCATAAATTTGAACTGTAGACTTTATTTTTCTTGAAAAAAATAGCTTCTAAGGCGTTAAAAATGAGGAGGTTCTTGCTCCAGCTCCATAAAAATAACATCTATGAACTAATCCATATCTATGTTTAATTATCAGTGGAGCACATAAATTCAAAAATTCTTCACTCTAATTTTTCAAAAAGCTTTCTTACGCGCTTAAAAATTAAAAGTTTCTTGCTCCACCTCTATAAGAATGATCCAACTATTCTTTGTTTAATCATCAATGGAGCGCATAAAATCAAACCACTAGACACTATTTTTTTTGAAAAAGCTCCAAGACACCGAAAATGAGGACGTTCTTGTTTCTTCTCATTAGAAGAACTTCAATCAACCGTTTCTTGTTTAATTATCAATGGAGCGCACAAACTCAAACCCCTAGACTCTATTGTGTTCAAAAAGCATTCTCAGGCACCTGAAAGGAGGCGGTGCTTGTTCCTCCTGTTCCTCCTCCTCTTCTTCGTCCTCCTCGTCGTCCAGCTCATCCTCCCTTTCGCTCGGCGAGGAAGGGGGATCGTTCGGCGGAGGCGCCAGACACAATAAAGCCTCGATGAGCAGGTAGAGGAGCTCTAACCGAGTTCCGAGAGCGAGGATCACCGGCTGCTCGGGGCCCATTTTTTGCTGGAAAGAAATTATTTATATGAACATTTTAAGAAGTCTGCGCTCTTTTTTCTTATCGACAGGGCAAGAGGAGCATGAAAATGGCCCACGAGAAATTTGACTTTTTCAAGTTATGGCGAAGTGTTTATAGCTTGCTTCAGCTTATAACACGAGGAAGAACAGGAATTACCTGCGTCTCCACCAATCTAATGCTATTTTATCGTATCAAGGACCATCTTTTGATTAGCGCCGTTGAATAGCGGAAAAAAACAAGGTGAGAGAACAGCTACGCCCCAAGAGACTTCAGAGAACGAGAGTGAAATGACTTCTCTGGCGTCTCTTCAAGGATAAGTTAATCTCTCGCTCGTGTGACTCTTTTTTGAAAAAGAACAACTAAACCCGAAGAGACTCCAGAGAACGAGAGTGAAATGACTTCTCTGGCGTCTCTTCAAGGATCAGTTGATCTCTCGCTCCTGCGACTCTCTTTCGAAAAAGAACAACTAAACCCGAAGAGATTCCAGAGAACGAGAGTGAAACGACTTCTCTGGCGTCTCTTCAAGCCTGTGTAATCTCTCGCTTCTGCGACTCTCATTCGAAAAAGAACAACTACAACAGAAGAGACGACAGAGAAATGAAGATCATCATTTTTGTCTCGCGTCTCTTCAAGCCTGTGTGATCTCTCGCTTCATCGACTCTCTTTCGAAAAAGAAAAACTAAACCCTAAGAGACTCCAAACAACGAGAGTGAAATGACTTCTCTGTCGTCTCTTCAAGGATCAGTTGATCTCTCGCTCCTGCGACTCTCTTTCGAAAAAGAACAACTAAACCCGAAGAGATTCCAGAGAACGAGAGTGAAACGACTTCTCTGGCGTCTCTTCAAGCCTGTGTAATCTCTCGCTTCTGCGACTCTCATTCGAAAAAGAAAAACTAAACCCTAAGAGACTCCAAACAACGAGAGTGAAATGACTTCTCTGTCGTCTCTTCAAGGATCTGTTGATCTCTCGCTCCTGCGACTCTCTTTCGAAAAAGAACAACTACAACAGAAGAGACGACAGAAAAATAAAGATAATAAAATTCTCTTCAAGCCTTTTCTATGCAAGAAAATTCGAAAATGAAGGGGACTTGTCCTTTTATACCATCTCTTTCTAGTTTTCCATGACCAACCGTGAATCCCAGTTGACGAATCATGCTTTTGAGCAATGGCATAGTCGTTTCCTTCGTGCACTGAGGACCGCTAACGTACGGAAGGTGCGTGTTGAAGTCTTCCTGGAAAAATATTCCACTAAATAAAATGTTTCGGAAAGAAGAAGCTGAACTTCCATACAGAGGATCATCATATAATTGCATAAAAATCTAACTTCAATACAGAGATTCATCATAGCATTCAGTTTTTATGGATTTAAAAAATGAACCCCCTACAAATCTTAATCACGCAAAAACAATAATGTATACCTCTTCATGACAACACGCGTTTTGAATAATGGATCGTATTATTTGAATCAAAAAAGTGAATGCATGGGCCAATGGACCGAAAACTGGATGATTCACTTCGTTCACGTTTGGCAGCAGAACGTTTGTCCACAGCTGAAAAAGAAGACTATTCAAATTTCAAGATAAATATGATGCAAGTTATGTCCTATAAAAATGATCAGGGCCTTCACTTTTGTTAAATTTCACAGTTTGCGACTTGAAGGCTCAAATAGTCAGCACAAGAAAATTGTTTTTGTGAAGCGATTAAGAAAAAAAATACTTCCAAAAAAGTTTCCCCTGAACAGTTTCTAAAAGAGACCTTCAGCGCAAATTTTTGACATTTTTAAACGAAATTCTCAATCTCAACAGATTATTTTTAAGAATAGAGCAAGCTTTAAATCTGAGGAAACTGAAAAAAAAGAAAATTCCATAACGAAAGAAAACCTAATCTTCATTTGAATATCTATCGAACAAAATTCGGAAAAATGATCAAATAAAGCATGAGAATCGAAGAGCGGAATAAAATCGAATGAATATCTTTCCTCTACTGACCTTTATTCTATTAAAAAATGTTCAATCTTGAATTAGTTATTTTGAAAAAAAAACTGAAAATTTGGAATTAAAGGCAAATTAGGAGAAGATTAATGTAATAGAAGAGAAAGTGAACCATAAATTAGGGCCCTTAGCTTTCTTTTCATATTTTTTTCATTGCATCAACAAAAATGAAGCCGAAATGAACCGTTTGAGCCAAAGAGCCGCCTTCAAGCCAAGACACGAATAAACACAAAGTGGCGTCGATCGTGGTCAACTGCTCCTGAGGCGAAGTTTCGTACAAACCCTTGAAAAATCATCGATTTTCCTTCCATTATTCCGAAAAAACCTGATCTATGCAAATTTTGAGCCCCGTCGGCCGGAATCGGACCATTCCAACGTCCATCTTGACGTCCATCAACTCGACGGCCGACATGGCCTCCCCCAGTTGAAAATCTTCGACTGACACCATCTGGCCCAGCTCCAACTCTTCAACAAGCAACAGAAATTAAAATTAAACCAAAGAAATTGAAACAACTCACTGCTGCACGCTTCGAAAAACTCCTCCGTAATATCCTCCATTATTCTCTTTTTTTCGACGACGGACCTCAAGTGGTCAAACCAGTGCTTCAAAGTCTCTCGTCGTCTGTAAAACCGCTGAGAAAAATGAAAAGACGCAAAATTCCGAATCACGATTAGGAAAACTTTGATAAAACTTCAATTTTGAAATGGAAACTAGGGTTCGAAACATGAAAAAATAGTCCATAAGCCTAAAGATCTCATCAAGCACTTGTAAGGAATTCTATTTGAAGGTTGAAGTCACAAATAGCTCGAAAAAGGCGGAAAAACAGTAAAAAATTGTCGTAAATCAAAAAAAGACAAAATCTGCGGCATGCGTAAATGGGCGTGGCTAACTCTGTGCGCTAGTTGCAATATGGAGGACAATTAACTTTTCGCGGTTTTGTTTCTTCTTCTTTCATTTATTTGAAGACCCTTTCCAATGCATGAAGAGCATTTTTGTCTCAAAGGCATGTAAAAACTTTGCAAAGAGACATTTTCACAAAATGTACTGATGAAAAAAAACAAAAAAGGAAAAAGTTTATTTTCATGTTAAAATAATAAAATAACCCGTGTAGAAGCTGAAACATAACAAGAAAAAACAGAGTGTTCATTTAACATGAAAAATAAGCAATTATTCCTCTTCGAACCATTTTTTGGTCTTTTTCTCTGCCGGTTGTGGTAAATCGCCAAGAATTTGTGCTTCGAGGTCTTCAAGCGACATCGCTTGATAATCTGAAGGTAAAAATGATAATTATCGTCGATAAATGAGTATAAAAAACCATTTTTAGGTTTAGTCGGTTCAGATTTTCGTTTGACGCCTTCATCTTTCCTCCTATCCTCTGGCGGCGTCAGCCACTCGGCTGAAAATTGAAAATTTCATTCGAAATAGCCATTTTCTTGTTTTCCAAAGATTTTTTCGGGTGAAAAGTGTAATTTAAAAGATTCCCCGTCAAAATTACCTGATATTTCGGGTCCTGGCCTCAATCCGGTCTCGGTTTCGGCTCCCCACGAATTTTTTCTCCCGTTGCGAATTCGATCAAACATTTCCGGCGGTCTTTTTTTGATGATTATCGATGAAACCGTTGTGATTTTGCCGTACTGGAAAAGGAAATAAAGTTATTTTTAATGATTCATCAACTCTCAGTACCAAACTAGAAGCTAAAGTTCGCTTCCAAAGTTCTAAAATTTATTTTTTTCAATTCCCATTCGTATTGATTTCAAACCTCATAGTTACATTCAAAATCTAAATTTCGAAACCTTCTTCTTTTGAACAAAAGCAAAACTTAATGAAACTTGTTAGCCCTCTTGAAGCCAATTAAAAAAACTACCCTGAAGTTTTTTCTTTCTTGGTATGTATAACCATTTGTTATCAAAAACATTTCTTATTTTCCGAGAGCCTGTCAACAAAATTTTTCGAATTTTTTTTCCTTTCAACCAAACTCGCTCAGAACTGACCGGTTCGAAAATGATTCTCAAAGCTGCTTCGTCATAATCCTCGTCGGCGGTTGCTTTCCATTTAACCATGAGCTTCGGTGTGATGTTTGCTGGAAGTAGTATGCATGAATAAAGTATAAAACTCGCGCCGTAGCGTCCCAGGTCGTGTGCCTGTCTACGGTCAACAGAGTCAAAAGTTCGACCCCCGCCGCGGCTCAACCAAGGGGTTTAAGGAAACTCTGGTAATGGAACCTCAGACTTGGGGTGCCGAAACCGCTCGGGCGGTAAAAGAAGAGAAGAAATATAGCATATAACAATTTTCATTTTTGAACATTTATTAAACACTTTCCAGGAAGAAAAAAACTTTGCCTACCAACAGCAGCGGCATGTTGAGCATGAGCCTGTCGAACTCGCTCCATTTGCCTCATGACCTCTTCGTTCGCCTCCCGTTCCAGTTGCTTTCGGATATCCTCCATTTCAGACCGCATTCGGAGCTCCTGAGACGGGGAATGGTGAAATCTTGAAATTTTGAATGGTTTTTTTCTTTGATTCATTCGTAACCCCGCGACGTTGAAAACAGGCAAAAAATGATTTTCAAGTTTCTATGTCCTGTGTGGAAAAAAAAGGTGCGGGAAAAGAGAGCGCAGACGTCAGTTGCGACGGACCCGAAACGACTTGAGGCGAGCCATCATACGTGCGACCAAGTACATTTGGATCATTCCTCGCTGGTTTTTAAAGGAGCATACACCTTTATTTTACAGGTTTCGAAGCGAAAGCGCAGAAAAAGCTATGGTTACGGTAGTTTTCCTTATTTTTCTCAATTTTCCAAACTTCTCTACGATTTTCAATAACATGATCGCACGGGGAATGGTTCAACACTGGAAAGATGCAAACAGTTGCGACCGACCGAAAACGACTTGACGTGCGATTATACGTGCGACCAAGTACATGTAGATCATTCCTCGCTGGTTTTTAAAGGAGCATATTTTTGAGGTATCGAAGCGAAAGAGCACAAAAAGCTACGGTTACGGTAGTTTTCCTTATGTTCCCGTTTCTATACAGAACTTCGAGGTAAAAAATTAAAACTCCAAAAAAAGTAGACCCTTCTAATTTACTTGAAATTTGCCAAATAATAGTTAATTGACGCATTAGGGCTGCGAAGCGTCCTCCCAATCCTAACGCCTTGAGCCATTCCCTATGCGACCAAGTTAATACCTCAGCCTTTTTCTTGCGCGCCTCCTGGGCGGGCGTCAAAATCGGCTCCCCAACTTTCGATCTGTCATTGAAGGCTTTTTCTCGTTGGTTCAGCTCATCGATGAACCTGAACTCCATGAAAATGTTCAGACTTCAAAAAAAGGCCAACTTTCTCCTGGCTCCGTCGGCCTTCTCCATGCGGGCCTTGTGTTTCTCTTCGGCGACTCGAACTCTTTCTTCTCCTCGGTCATATTCCTCCTGGACTTCTATTGATCTATTGAAATTCTTGTTAACCCACTCTTTTGGTTTTATCGAACAGGAATGCGAAAGCTTCCTTGGCTGCTATGAATCGTTTCTCGGCTGCAAAAATTTCATTCTTCTCGGAAAAAAGTCCGTTTTTCGCGATTTGAAAGAGCTTCTTGTCTCTCTCATGTTTACGTGCTATTTCCATGTTACTCTGACCTCGCCGGTGAGGGAACAGAGAGACGCAGACACGCTAGAACTGTCAAGTCGCGACGGGCGGATTATCTTTGGAACTCCAGAGTGGTCTCTATAGGGGCAATTAAGGTCCCCTCTAGGAACCACTTTTTCAACCCCAATAGGGGCCACTAAAGCTTGGAAAAATGGTCCCTATTCCATTGAGATTATAAATTTCAAGTATAATGACGTCATTCGCCTTCGGATTGGTTTATCACGTCATTAGGGGCGGAGCTTGATTGACGACTACAACTATACCATTTTATTGCATAAGAAAAACAGATTTTTCACAATTTTGAAAGAAAACCTTCTTCGAAATTTAAGGAAAATCAGAAAAATCAGAAATTCTCAGCTTAAATCCGAAACTTTCGAAAATCATTTTCAATGTTAAATTTAAAAATCCGTTTTCGAGATATTTTCCCACGGTTTTTTTCCATCCTCACCTTCCTCCTTATTATCCAAATTCTTGTCGGGATGCCATTTGAGGCATTGGAGCCGGTAGGCCTTCTGAATATCCCTTTCGGTGCAGCCTTTCTCCAGGCCCAGCACTGTGTAGGGGTTCACCCCCGGTTTCAAAGACATCTGAATCGGAACATTCGAAGAAAAATTTTCTAAAACCCAAAGGAAAAATCGAAAAGGTTCGAAAAACCCTAAAAATCTCAAAAAAATCATCCTAACAAGGTAAAACTTTTATTGCAGGACGTAAAAATCTACATAAAGCTAAGAAAATGCAGTAAAATAAATAAATAAATACCATCTTTTTTGATTCTTTATCAATAATCACAGAAATAGAGTTTTGATTCGGTTCGAAATGAAAGATCTACGTTCGAGACTAGCTAGGGAACATGGTTAAAGATGATCAAAATAAATAAGTTACAAATGTGTGCAAGGAAAAAGTGAATGAGTAAGAAATCTGTACAATGCGAACGGAAATGGTTAATAGCTTTATCGAGCCCCTAGAGAGGGCAGATTCGAGGCGGAAGGATGCGGAGTACTGCAAGGGGTCGGTGAGAGGGAGCTGCAGCACAGGTCGCACTCGTCGATCAACGCCAAGAGTTCCTGGGCCGTCGGTCCGGAGAGGCCCTGAAACTTCCAGGATCCTGAGAAAGAGTCTCTGGCAGTTGAAATTATTATCACAGTTACTAGACATAATTTGTAAACTTTTAGGCTAGTTACTGTGAGGCTCCGCCCACTCACTGGGTTACGGTAGGACTTTTAGTGAAACTTGTTTTTTGGCTTTTTGAAACAAAAAAAGATCGCTTCCTGGCAGCTTTTCAAGAAGATGATCTCTTGCAAACGAGAGACATTTGGTTTGAAGAGACGCCAGAGAAGAAGAGTATTTCTTACTTCTCTGGAATCTCTCAAAAAGCTGCTTCTCTGTCTTTTTCTAGATTGAAAAGCATTATAGGAAAATCTGAAGAAGTTTCATTTTTTTTTCAAGACGTGGACAAAAAAGGCCTCTTCAAGGTACACTTTCACTAGTTAGCCCTGTTCCAACTTTAATGAGACAGCGTGCGATTTTAAGAGGTGTCAGAGATGTGGAAAAACCCTCTTTCTCTAGCGTCTCTCCATCTATATAAGCGGCGCCTCAAGTTAATTTCTCTAACTCTCTGGCGTCTCTTCAGGCCTCCGTTGATCTCTAACTTTTTCTCAACCTTTTTCACTGTGTGGGAGGTCAATAACGATCCAAAGAGAAGCTAAAGAAAGGGAGAAACTTTCTTTCTCTGGCGCCTCTTTAGGCTTCTTCTGAACTCTCGTCTTTAAGCCTTACCTTTAGTACTTTTACGCAACTTTCCTTCATACCTGAAGTAAACTCGCAGGTAGCCGGATGTTCTGGGCCAACGACGGCTTCATGACGTCGCCGGAGCTGCTCGTGACCTGTTGATATTGTGCAGCCCCTCCAATTGGTTGCCTCGACGATTGGTACTGATCCAAGGCGGTCGTCAGGTCCCAGAGCTGAACAGAGACCTCATTTTCAACTTTTTTAAAATTATTTTGGGACCTGGACGTTTCCCGTACTCGTTCCACAGAACAAAAATCGCCTTGGGCGGCTTCCTATTCGGCTGGATCCTTCGCATTCGTGTACAGTGAAGGCGGAGATGACCGAGTTGTCAACGCATTTTATTGTACATAACCTGAGAAAAAAATCATTGGAAGAATAGAAACTTTGAAGATTGAGTTCAACGTTTCAAGTCTTTTTAATGTCTCCTCATGGATATTAACTCCGTGGGTGCATGAAAAACGGCTCAAAAGGGGATTGCAGAAGCTATTCCATATAGTCAGGCTTGAACGAGGGCCGGCCCTCGGCCATTTTCTAAGATGGCGCCCTCGGCCATTTTGAAAGAAAGCCCGGGCCAAAAAAGGTCCTTTTTCTTCAAGCCAACAACCCTAACGAAAAAAAAAAAATCACTTTTTTGGTTCTTTTTTAACCTAAGTATCAACATAACTATCATTCAACAAGTGAAAAAGGATTTTTTGGTGAAGATTCTGAGTTAAAACCGAAAAACTTCTAAGAGAATTAAGAAAATTCATTCCCATGCTGGTCTGGACCAAAGTCGAACAGGCTTCTTGGGGAAAAAAAGCCCGATTCGGGTCATACCGCCCAGCCTACCCCCAAGCCCGCATATAGCCCTTCCGCCGGGAGTTTAAATTTTTCGCCCGTCTGCGTCTCTCTGTTCCCTCATTGTCAAGGTCAGCTTAGGAACGCCAGAGTGGTCCCTCTAGGGCTCTTAGAAATAGAGCCAGAGTGTCCCTAGGGGAGTTCCTGGCGTTTAAATTTCAAGGTACTATAGTCTGTTCAGATTTTGAATGTCAAGTCATCGCTCAAGCTCCGCCCCTAATGGTGCGACAAACCAATCAGAGAGCGAGCCATCCACAGAGTGTTTATGAATGACGTCATTGCACTTGACATTAAAAATCTACACAGACTATATACGTACAAAAGTCTTCGAAAAATTCTCGTTTTTGAATTAAGCAATACGACTCAAAATCCGCACCAATCTACAGTGAAAGCAACTTTTCTGAGTAAAATTTTTGTCCTTATTGATTTTGATCTCCAATTTTTCCAACCCTAACATTCCACAGACCCATTCTAGCTTAACTATGATATTTTCAATAAATCCAATATCCCCTCCGTACCGATCTCCAGTAGAGGCGAGCCGGACGAAGACCTGATTCGTGTCAGGAACGAGTCGTTGGACGAAAACCTGCTCCGTATCCTGGTCACCATATGGTCCTGGGAAAGTTCTTCAATTTTCCACTGATTTATCGATCTTCTAATCACCAGGATCAGTATAATCCCGGTCAACCCGTTCGTCGGTCGAGTCGAGGGTCAGGACTTTGAACGAGGCGAGGCTCATGCTCCCGGGCTGAGTGCTGATCATTCCTCTGAACCTCGTCACCATCCAAGACCTCACATGGTTGTACTCCGAGCATACTGTAGAGCGAGGATTACGGTATTTTCCGACTAGTTTTTCGATCTCACCACTTATCAAATGAGTCGTTGTTAATGCGACTTTCGTCACGGGTGAGTTGTGGACAGTGTAGGTCTGAAAAAATTCGGATTTTTCTTTTTTTTTCTTATAAATTCTGACCCTATCCAGAAGCTCAGGAAAAAAAATTTAATACCGAGATTTTTTTAAATGTATATCTGTGATGAACAGTAAGTTCTTTGGAACGTCAAAGTGGTCCCCATAGGGTTTGGAAGAACCCTCAAAAAAGCCCTTTTTAAGAGTTAAATTTAAGTGATCCCTATAATGATTTAGAGCGTGACCTTTAAACCTCTAAAGCTCAAGTAGTCCCTATAGGAGTTAAGAGAAAAGACGTACCATACAAGAGACAAAAAGTGCTCCCCATAGAGGAAAAAAATTTAAGTGGTCCCTATAGTGATTTAAAGTGCGAGCCCTAAGTCCCTAAAGCTCAAGTAGTCCCTACAGGGGCCTTTTTAATTTTTTTGGTTCAGATTTGAAAAAAACACAATCTTGATCCATTTTTTTAGATTTCGATCCATTTCCGCTCATTTTTCGCTCGAAAAACGCTAATTTTTTGAATTTTTCGCATGAAAATTCTTCTTCTCATAGATTTCATATCAATATATTAATATTATGACACTATAGAGGTCACTATTTCAAGCTTTAGTTGCCCTTATAGGGAATGGGGAAGTGACCTCTAGAGGGGAACCTTCGAGGGCCCCAGAAGTTACCCCTATAGGGACTTTACCAGGAAAAAAATACTGACTAATCCCTAACCCCCTGCACACCTAATGTGGTACAGCAAAAAAAAAAAATGGTCAAAATCTACATGAATCATCTGAAAAACCTTAAAATCACTCAGTTTTCAAAATGAAAGCTTAAAAATATTAGTTAGAACTACAGTATCCCTTCTCACAATCCATTCCCTCCACCTGCACATCAAACCATGTCTCACCTGGAACAACTGCGGGCCATGGCCAACGGTCTCCGGATGTTGTACGATGACCCGGACGGCTCCGGTTTGCGTTCCGTAGGCGATTTCGATCCAATTCCCGCTCACAGCTTGAAAATGAATATTCTATTTATAAAAAAATGAATAAAATAAACTTGTTTTTCGGGGTCAAATAAACGGAAATCGCCGTGATGCAGTCGCCGGCCGGGTCTCTGTACAGCTCCGTCACCAGAAGGTCATTGTCTTTCATTCTGAATCAATTTTTCGACACTTATTGGAAAATCCCCCCCAAGAAGGGTTGTTTCTCTTAATGGTTGGGAATCTTTTGAAAATTGACCATAATATTCATAGGTGTACTGTCAAGTCCTAAAAGTCACAGGCTCAAAAAATATTCAGTTTTTAAAAGAATAAAAGAGCTCAAAGGTTCTTGGCTTTTTTTGAGGCCTTGAGACCTAATTTTCTGAAAAATATGAAAATTTGAAGTCACGAAACTGTCGTTGATCAAGGACGACTCGTAGATCATCAAGTTATTTTTTTTTGTTAGTAGTATAGTCCCTCCGCCGTTACTTGACGGTTTTCGTGTGTCTGCGTCTCTCTGTCCCTCACCGGCAAGGTCAGTTTAAGAACGCCAGAGGGGTTACTCTAGGGGCAACCTTAAAGCTGTTGAAGGTTCCCTTTGGGGGCTACTTCACCTCTACCTATAGGGGTCACTGAAGCTCTCGGAAGTGGCCCCTATAGGTGGGCATGGTAGTCGATTATTGTTATGAACTATATGAGAAGAACCATTTCCTCTAACCCCTATAGGGATCCCTCTAAGGTTCCTAGAAGATAAACTCGCGTCAAAACGGACTATTTTAAATGAAAAAATATCCTGACCGAGTTTTAAAGAATTCCCAACCAAAAAGGAACTACCCCCTGCCCCCCTTGTGAAGCATCACCTCAAAGGGAACTTCTGCATATCAATATAGTACATGGAACCGTTGACACATCCCAATAATAGTGAAGATCCAGCCGTGTCGAAACAGGATATTGACACGATATCTGAAGCGAAAAGTATGATAATTCTTGAAAAAAGTTGGAAAAAAAAGTAATTTCTGTCTCAAAAGTTCAAAAATCCTTGAAAAAAGTTGGAATAAAAAATGATTTCTGTCCCAAATCCCATTTGGAGCGAAAATTAGGATAATACTTCAAAAAACTTGGGAAATAAAGAAAATATTTATCCCAAAATTTCATCAGAAGCCAGGAAGTTCAATTATCCTTTAAAAAACTAGGAAAAATAAAATAAAATTTCAGCCTCAAAAACATATCTGAAGCAAAAGTTACGATAAACCTCCAAAAAAGTTGGAAAAAAAAATTAATTTCTGACCCAACAAGCTTCTGAAGCAAAAATTAAGATCCCAGTATAAAAAAAATTAGAAAAAAAAAAATAAATGTGTGTCCCAAAAACCCATCTGAAACAAAAAAGTTAAAGAAATTTCTGAAAAAATCGAAAAAGAAAGTTTTTGTCCCAAAAATCTATCTAAATCTGAAAGTTCAATTATCCTCTACAATTTTCGAAAAAAAAAAACCAAATGCGTATCCTAACAATCCGTCGGAAGCAAAAAAAAAAGAACAAGAATCTTCCAAAAGCATCGAAAAAAAAAGAATTTTTTCTACAAAAACCCACCCTGACACTGCCAATTTTGTGTCATCGAGTGCCAAATCCCGACTTTTCCGATTTTGCTCAAGGCCACCATTTGGGAGCCCACGAAGAAAAGCTTGTCGACAGGTACTCCAAGGGCGAAGGAACCTAAAATCATGAGAGTTGGACAGGGAAAAGAGCTGAAAAAGGAAAAAAAACTGGTCTAAACCATAGATGGTCAAGTACAGAACTCATTCAGCCCGGGAGGAACGGCTAAGGCTTACAAAAGTTCGGAGAAATAAGGAATATGATGAAGTTTCAACCTCAGGAAGGTAGTTTTAGCCTTAGGGAGGTATTATTAACTTTAATTTGGGAAAACTTAAGAAGAGGGGCCTATTATTAAACCAGTCAGAAGCTTAAAAATCGCCAACTTATGTATGGCTCACACTCGGAAAAAACATCTCTAAAAATGGCCCAAGTGTACTGAAACTTGGCCCAAACTTAAATTTAGCATAAAGCGACCATATTCAGAAAAAAAAGACTATTTTTGTTGATTACAACAGGAATGAGAGAAAAATGTTCATGGGGTGTTCAAAAAAACTCTGCCAAATTCAAAAATATCTCTGACCCTCCAAAAATTGCCTCTCAATCTGGGAAAGCTTCTAGTGGCCACTATAGGGTTTTGACGTTTTAGTGGCCCCTGTAGTAGTCAAACTAGCGGTCACTTAAGGGGTTAGAAATTAGTGGCCACTATAGAGGTCTAAATGCTACTACTAGACCACTAAAAATTTTAGTGGCCACTTTAGGGGTTAATGGATCAACATAACTGGTCCAATATGTTTGTTTTGAAATGATCAGAGTTACTGGAAGGAATAATGGATGAAAGCTACTGAAGTGGCCACTAATCAGAGAAACTCTATAGTGGCCACTAAAAATTCCCACAGAATCGTCACAAAATTTTTTCAAAATTGCCTCTGAACTGTCTTAAAATCATCTCTGAACCTCCCAAAATCGATTATCTTTTTCTTTCTCTGACGGCTATCTTAAAGTTCACGGAATCGCTTCGACCACGGCATTAAGACCACGTGGAAAAAGTGGATTTTTAACCTCTATAAAAAATTTTTCACACAGCTTGAGACATACTTTTCTACTTTTTACAACTTTTAGGCTATCAAGAAGATTTTTCTCTCTTTGGTTCCCTAAAAAAAAGCCAAAAATCCCTGACCCTTCTTCGAGACGGCGCCATCCTCTTCCACCAGCCACAGAAGAACCGTCTCGTTCTCCAGACCAACGGCCAAGAGGCGATCCGTTCCTTGGGGCCCGAATTTGGAGTTCAAGGCGATATGCTTGACGGCACATTCGAGCCGAGGCGTGTTCCAAACCGGCTGCCAGCCGACCGAGTCTTTTAGCCTTCAAAAAAATAATTTTTTTTTTCAAAAATATATTGATTTGAAAGCGACAATTTTGCGCTTAGTGACCCCAGAGTGGTACCTTTAGGGGCAACTTTTAGAGCTCCTTGATAGCTGCTATCAAGGAAGCACTTTACCCGTTTCTATAGGAGAGACTAGAGCTTGCAAAAGTGCCCTCTTTAGAGGTTTCAAATAGTGGCCCCTGTAAGAAAGAAACTCAATAAATTAGTGCTTTTGAATGAAAACTATCCACAGAGTTATATGACCCCATAGAACCAACTAAACTTTACCCCTCTAGGGGCCAGTTTTTGTCCCCTATATGGCCTTTTCTCCCTAACCCCTATAGGGACCACTCTGACGTTCTTCAGCACAAAAAACAGGAAATTTTCAGCAAAAATCGTATTCGAAACTGGCTACCAGTCAACCTAACTTATAAGCTTCCAGCAAAAAAAAAAATCGAAAATAATGATATCTAATCGCAAAAGTTTTTTTTTCAAGGTTTGAAATTCCAATTTCTCAGGGTTATTTTGGTACCTACCTTATAAAACACGAGAATTTGTTTTTATTTATCTCCATTTTGATAGCCTTTTTGAGAAATTTCGGAAACACCCGCAGAGGATAAATTGATCAAGTTTTGTCCCCTATAGGGCCTTTTTTACCTCTGACCCCTATAGGGATCACTTTGACGTTTCACAGCACGGAAAAAATGAAATTTTCAGCTAAGTTTATATTCCATACTGACTTCCAGTCAACCAAATTTTTAAGCATCCAGCTAAAAAAATCGAAAATAATGATAACTATTCGCAAAAGTTTTGTTTTTTAGAGTTTGAAATTCTATTTTGTCAGGGTCATTTTGGTACCTTTTTGTATAGAAAAATACGTATTTTCTAGGGGTTTTCAGAAAGAAATCAACGAAAAAAAGAAAAGGACAAACCTGTACATACAAGCGTAGTACGCGTGGGCGACAGCCAGCGTGTTATGATGGGTTCTGACCATTCTCACTTTGATTGGATCGACTGGCATTTGGTTTCCGTCTTCAGAAGGCGTTCCGGAGGAGCGCATCAACTGCGACAGCTCGTTTTTCAGCTGAAAGTCGGGTGTAATCAAAAAAAAAGAACAGGCTTGTGCGACTGGCCGGCCCGGCAGCCTATCGGCCATTTTATAAGCAAAGCCTTTTTACGAATTTTAGAGTGGTCCCATTGGGGTTAGGGGGAAAAACAGCCTCTGCAAGGACTGATAAAAGTGGACCCTATATGGGTCTTTCAATTTCATTCAAAAAAGGCTCAATTATTCTTTTTTTTTCTCCATGGAAGTGTCCTTCGCCTAGAGTTCCTAACAATTTTGAATCTAGAGGGGCCACTAACTAAAATCCCTGTAGGGACCACTCTGGAGTTTCTGAAGTCCGGGCTAGACCGCTCGAACTGACGCAAAAACCCTAATAAAAAGTAACTGAAAAGTAATTTTTGAAATGAAGATCTAAATAAAGCAGAAAACTCCCTTCCATTCTGGGGAAGATCTCAAAAATGACTGTTTTAAAAATCTTAAAAAGCTGAAACTCATAAAAAATGATTTTACCAGAAGATTTGACAAAGAAAAACCAATGAAAGGCTCAGAAATCGCAAAATATATCATTTTCAAACAGTTTTGAAACGAGTTCTTAAGCCCCAATCGGCCCAAAACTAACATATCGATTCAATTCGTAGGAGCTCTTCTTCGCGTGGCCACAATATCGCGGTGTGGAGGTTCCGCTGCCCTAAAAATTAATAAGGAAAGTTATTATTCGATTCATTAATTACATGAAGGCAGACTTCGCGTTTTTTTGTAGGGTAAGCCGAGTCGGACGAGTTGCAATCGGAGGATAGGGGTGAGTTTGTCTGAAAAATAATAAATTTGAAGTTTTATTTGTACATGAAGGTGATGAAATTTAAGAAAAAAAGATGCATTAAGAGTTGAAAATCAATGAGAAATACATTTTTTTGGGCTCTAATATTATCTTTTTTTCAACAATCAACTACATTTTTAATAAAATATTAGAGGCGAGTTACAACTTTTAAAAAAATGATAACAAGTTTTTATATTGAGCTTTAAGAGCTAGACGCTTCGAAACTGAGAAAATGTAATATTTTTTTCAATACAGAATTGAAGTAACTACACTCTATTTAAGGTGGATATCAAATATCATAATACTTAAAGCTGATTTTTCTTTCTGCTTTGTCAAAAACCCCTTTCAAAACGGACCCTTTTGTCCTGCGGAATACAGCCGAAGGGCAAATCCGGACAGGGAATCAGGGCATTAAACAGGACCGTGCCGCAGGAGCTCACATCGAGCTCCTCGCACAAGGTCAGCCTTCGAACCAAAGGCGCCAGCCCGAAATACTGCGCCTCGTGCTTCAGTTGTGCTGCATTCACAGCGCTGAAACCTTATTCTTTATTAAAACCCTCAAAATTCCCTTTAAAACTAACCTTAGATCAACTTGTTTTGTCCGTAAATAGTTTAAAATAACACGAAAAATCTCTGGATCACGGTCGATAAATATCGCGCCCGCTTCATCTCGAACCGTTGGCAGACGACCGCTCAACAAACTAAAATTCATGTTTTGTTCATTCTAAACAACTACAAAATCTTCTACCTCGTAAAAAATGTATCTGGAATCCAGCTGAGAGTGTTGGAACTCGTGGCAAACCGCTGACCGCCGACATTTAAATTGACTATGTGCTCCGTCAGAACTGTTGACGACGTTGACATGATTTTTGCCTGATGTTCCTCCCCAGCCGCTTCCGACCCGGCTGGCCAAGCGAGTTTCCTAGAAATGACCAATTGCTTCGCAACATTTTCGAAATTTTTTTTTTGAATTCACGAATCATTGGGACAGTTTGCAAGGCTGAGCTTCTGCCTGGAGTGTTCTTCTAACTGTTAAAAGTAATAAAAACAAGCAGCCGCTATTAAAAAAAGGTTAAAAGATAATGAGGAAAAATGAAAACGAAAATAAAAAGAAATAAAAATGGAGTTTTCGGGGCAAACGCGCCCAACGAGAAACCCTTTCAGTGGCCCCTTGAGCGACTTTTCAACATTTTCCAGTGCCATTTCGTTTTTCTTCTGTTTTTTTCTCGCTTTTTTTCTACTTTTTTTCTGCTTTTATTTTTTTGTTTAAGGTTGTAGAGATAACCGGATTATCTCGATTTTAGAACCTTGGAAGTGTCAGAAAAATTCGTTGGGCGCTTAAAAAATTAAATTGCGAGTTTTGTTTCGAAATTTTCAAAATATTTTCTGACTGGTTTTTTGACACTTTATAGTAGTTTTAGTGCTTCAAAATAAGAAATTTCTCTTTACAGACGACGAGAAAAGTTTTATTTTCCAATTTTCTTTGCCATTTATATATTTTTTGTGGAATTTTTTCGATTCTCACGTTTCTTTTTTAAACACTGATTTCAGCTCTTGAATCTCTATCTCAATACGGTGATTTTTTACAAACATTTTTTTTTCGTTCATCTCGTGAATTGAAAAAAAATTTCAGTGTAGTAAAACTATGGAGGACACAGACCATGATCGAAATTCCGACTCTGACGCGGATTTTGTGGATTTCGAAGCACAGAAGGCGACGAAATTGTGAGTTTTTAGATAATTTTTACTTTTAATGACTTTGAAAACTGCAGGAAAAATGTGAAAGAGATGGTGGAGTGCGAAATCGCTTTCACGGTGATCAGGAAACGGCAAAGGGCCCAGGCGGCCGCTTTGGTTGGTTTTAAATTTATGTTTTAGCTGATTCTTCTTTTTTTTTGTCAAACTGACATATTCAAATAAAGATTGTAAAGGTCTTAAAGAAGAAGTAAAATGTTGAAAAAGAAGAAAAAAGTTCAGATCAAACGAAAGAAGGAAGAGTTGAATACGGAGACGAATCCGGATTTTGTGACGAGAAAAGGAGAAATTGAAAAAGTGGCTCATTCTGCCTACTCGGTGAGTTTTTCCAAACGTCCCAACTTTTTTTAATGTTTTATGTTTCCCAGGAAGCCAAGTTGGTATATTTGTTGGCGAAAAAAACTCGGCTACGGAAATTTACCAAGGCCAGAAAGAGTTCATTTTGAACGAACAGGAAGATAATAAAAAGTTCCTGCAGGTTTTAAATATTATTTTATCGTAATTTTGAATATTCTCAGGAACAAATGACCGCAGAAATGGAGGATAAACTCGGCAAAAAGCGGGAAAGACGTCGGAGTGTGACTTCTGCATTGCGGATTTTAGCTCGTGATTTTTTTCTATTTAAAAAAGGTTATTTTATCCTGTTCCAGAAGTCAAGTACAAGGAAGACGAATATTTGATGAAGGGCAGTGATTTGAAAGACATTGCCGCGTCCAGGGTGGCCGGCGCGATTATCGTTGAAGAGCCCGACGATGAGGTTTGAAAGGACTGAAATTTTAGGTTTTGTAAAGAAAAAAGTGTTTTATTTTGTTCGAAAATAGTTGAAAATGCAAAAAAATTGTTTTTTGTTTTAGTGCCCTGTAACGGAAAATGATTCGTTTAGAGACATAAAAGGTACTGTAAAAATATCTATGAAAGTTTCAGGGTTTTTAAAATTCACCAATACGAGTAAATTTTGACATTTTGGACTATTTATTGAAGTTTTTTTTCTTTTTTGGAAACGAGTTTTTTTTTTCTGGGGAAATGTAAATTTATTGATAACCTAGGAATCTTTCTGGGTCCGCAGGGAGGTCTCAGAAGCGGAAAAAAATGGAAAAATCAAATAAAAAAAAGTCTAGTTAGTAGTGACCTGGCTTTAAGTTTCATATATTAAATCCTTTCCGAAACTTGAAAGGAGAGATGGATAGATTGACAAGGACGACGCGTTGCGTACGCGACGCGGCTTTTGGCGCGAAAGTCGAGATCAAACACGAGTTTAAAAACTTCAAAAAAAGACTTTAAAGAAATTAAAGACTTTAAAAAAAAGATTTCTTTTTGATAGCTGTCACCTTATCACGGTTTTAAAAAGATTAGTTGAACAAAAATGAATGAAAAAAATAATAATAAAAGTCTTGCCAATCGACCTACTCCCATGCCGCCCAGATGTCTCAACGGGTGTACCCATATTAAGCCCTTATTTTTTTTTTTCGAGGCTTTTCGTGTCACTATTGCGTTAAAACAAGTTTAAGTAGAAATATGTGAAAAAGTTGTGCTAAAACGGGCACACCCGATGATCATTCAATACGGGCACACCCGCTGACACGATGACTTGCAGATAAACATGATGGCGACCTACCACGGCGACCCGTCGACGTCTCAACTCTCGCCGGAGGAACAGGAGTTGCGCCAGGAGCTGCTGTTCACCGAAGGAGATCACGGAATCATCCAGAACTTGGACACCCGGGACCCAAAAATCGACATCGAGGCCGAAATCCCCGCCCCGGATTCGCCAGAAGACTACGTCGCCTACGAAGGAGAACAGGTTGCTCGAAGATTTGGCGCATTTTTGAGGGTTGAAATCGTTTTTCTTATTCTTCGTGATGATTTATTGATTTTTTGGTCTTCTTATTCTAAGGTTTTTCTAAGTTTTCCGGGATAATTTGAGATTTTGGCGGGTTTTTGAGTTTTTTCATTTTCTTCGGGTTTCGAGGCTTATTTTTATTTTCGAATAAAAAAAGTTTAAACAAATTATTTGGGAAAAAAAGTTCCAGAATTGCCCCCCCCGTCCGAACAAGTCCCCCACCCCCCATCCCCAAGACAAATTTCGACTGGGGGTCGATTCTAGAATGCCTAGACAAAATTCAAGCTTCACCCCCCACTCACCCAATTTTTGGAATAAGTATTGCAAGCCTTGTCATCTTCCCCCATATCTTTCTAGAATTGTTCGGACGGGGCTGTGAGGCAGGGGGGCATTCTGAAATGATTTCTTTTACGTAGTTTGATCTTTCTGGAACTTTTTGAAGTTGTGAGGATTGTTATTTTCAGCGCTCTGATGGGGTTTCAGTTCGAAAAAAGCTTTGTAGAGTTTCTGAAGGATTTAGATTCATTTAAGAAAGTTGTGAAAAACAGTTTTTTCTTTATTTCCTGATGGTACTGTAACTCCATTGTCTTTCCATGGGCATTCACCTTTCCATGAACTTTATAATCAGTCTTCTTTCCAGGACTCTGAGTACGGCGCCATCGAAGAAGTGAGATCTTCGGAAGACGTTCCTCAACACCTAGCCTCAACCTTCCAATCGACGTCGACGTCGTCATCTTCTGAATCCCCAGTGCCGAACTCTGATGATGTCATACACTCGTTGGAGCACAATTTGCAGCAACAATCCGTTTCTGTGTGACCTTGGGTGACTTTTGAGAGAGAATTGGGTGTTTTGGAGGGGTTCTATAGTTCGATTGGGCTCCGGGACGGTTTTTTTGGATTATTTTTGGTTCAAAAATACTAATTTCTCGGAAGTTTCTCTGAAATTTTTTTGAGCTTGAAAAAAATATTTCTGGAAGTTTTTAGTTTTTCTAGGATTTTTTTAAGTCCAGAGGATTTGAAAAGATGTGTTTTTTTGTTTTAATCAGAAACTTTCTCAAGTCAAGAAATTATTATATCCGGTCTCTATCAGACCTTTCCAGTCATTCTCCAAATTTTCTCTCGTAAAAACCCCAAAAACTGTCAAATTCGCGCATTTACTCATGTCCAATCAAGCTTCCTGTGGCCTTTTCTTTCATGTTGTTATCACTGTTTTTTGACTAATTTTGTGCCAGTGTTATTCCATGTCTCTACCGGTGCCTTGCTCTTTTACTTTTTGTCACTTTTTTTGGTCCCACTGCCATCAGATCTTTCATCCTACCACATAAACTTCACTTGGCTTCTTGCTCAACGAAAATTACTCGCCATTTTTCGGGATTTCATCGCCCAAACTCCCCCTTTGACTTCACTTTTGCTCTCATGCCTTATTTGGATTATTCGATATTTCTTTAGATCTTGACGTCATTTATATACCCGATTCACTGCTAACTTGGGACGCTGAGGGGCGTGGCGTGTCTGCGCTCTCCTCCAACCAGGCACTATCTCTTTTATTATCGTGTCAGGACCTTTTTTTTTGATGGCCTAAGCAAGCCGTGAATCAGCTATAATCCAGTAATGACAACTTTTATCCATTCCTCTCCAAGAATTGATCAGTTTCACCCCGGATTTCATTCCCCTTGAGTGATCTCTTCTGATTTGACTTGGTTCTGATTTAGTGCATAGGATACCTTTGGAACATTCACTTCATATAGCTCATTCCCTGGACATGAATATTTTCCTTTTTTGTCATCATTCTCATTCCGGAAGTTTATCTTTTTTTATTATTTTTATTCGAAATTAAAGAATTGATATTTATCTAGGAGTTTATTTAACAGCGTTATAGTCCATCCAGAGTTTGAGAGCCTAGTATAGTCTGTTCAGATTTTGAATGTCAATTCGTCGCTAAAGCTCCGCCCCTAATGGTGCGATAAACCAATCAGAAAGCGAGCCATCCACAGAGTGTTTTTGAATGACGTCATTGCACTTGAAATTAAAAATCTAAACAGACTGTAGAATGGCGTCATTCGAAAACGCTCTGTGGATGGCTCGCTCTCTGATTGGTTTGTCGCACAATTAGAAGCGGAGCTTGAGCGACGACTTGACATTCAAAATATGAACAGACTATAATTATATGGGGTATGATGCAACTTTTACGAATGACATCACCAATGACTTCAGATTGATGGCGTCACATTTCTTCATTTAAACAACTATAAGTATCCAATCAATATCGTACAGTATCTACAGATTTTGAATGTAAAGGTTTTATCAGGCTCCGCCCCTAATGCGGTGATGAACCAATCAGAGAGCGAGCCATCCACAGAGTGTTCCAGAATGACGTCAATGTACTTGACAATCTGAACAGACTATACAGAAATTCCTCGACCTCAAGAAGGTTGTTTTTCGTTTGATGACGTCACTGGAAGTTAAGAGAGAGTGACGTCATTATTTATACTTCGGATTTGAACTCAGTCTGAAAAGTCTTGCTAGAACTCCAAAAAAGGTCCGTTTTTAAGTTAATGACGTCATCCATTCAATAATTGACGTCTCCTCCTTCATAATATTCCATTTTTGGAGACGAATTCGTCCTTTCTCCATTCATTAATAACCGAGGAATCTTTGTGGATCCCCATGGAGGCCTCAGGAAAAAAAATAGAAAAGAAAAGACGAATTGGCCTGTCAGCAAGTGACGAAGACTCCTTTGTTCCCGGAAAACGACGAGAAAAAAAAAATAGTATTTTGAGGAAATGTCGGATGAATAATGAATTTCCTCGTTTATGGTCATTTTTCAAGTTCATCTGCCGGTTTTTGGTTCCGAAATGGATACAATTGAAGTTTTTGTAGGTCTTTTATCGTTGTGAGGAGTATGAAAGTGGTCCCTATAGTAGAAAAGTTCTGGAAAACAGTTACTTAGTGAGCAAAAGTGGTCCCTAGAGGGATAATATTTAGGTGGTCTCTATAGGGGCCTAGAGCCTGT